ATTTTCACCAAAAAAAAGAAAAGGTTGAGAAGTTAGGGGGTTGATATGTTGTGGGGTTGTTAACCAATGTCATAAAACAACATGTGTATTTCTGTTTCATGAGAAACTATTTGTTCTGTAAGCCTTCACCTGAAGTACAATAAAAAAAATTAAAAAAAATAAAAAAATTTTAGTATTGTAGTGTATAAATGAATTAGATTTATACTATGAAAATAGATGTTTTTTTTCTCAAAGTTTACTAAAAACTTAAAGTCTTAGATGATCTTATTTTTTTGTGAAGTTTTCCTTTTTGTGTCTAAGTGACCACAAATGACAATTCTTTTGGCCACATACATTTTCTTTGTATTACAGTTTGATCTCAGTCCATTTTTTATATTAGCTCAGTTTTTTCATTTAATATATTTTCTTAACTAGCCAATTTCTAAAGTGATTTTTAGAATGAAAATAATTATATAGAATCTACAAACAGTAATTCAAGTATTTGTTTCTTTAAGGTTTTGTTTTAAAGCATCTTAATCTTTGCTTTCTCCTACCCTTCCAGCTTCTTTTACCCTAGTATACACTATAACATTTTTCAAAATAAAGGAGACCTTAAAACCATTGATCCTGCCAGTTTTTAACCATATGTAACCTCCCTCATATACTTCCTTCCTTACCCATCTTAGATTTTATGATCCAATACAATAATCACTTTGCAAATACCTTGACTCCCTTGCCCCCTCTCTCTCCACCATACTTGCCAGGCAAATCTCCAATGTAATTGAAACCATGTTTCTGTCTACTCCATGCTTGCCCTAGAGCAGTGAATGTTGATACAAGAAAAATGCACTATCATGCTGATCATAGAGCTCAAATGGGTATTCATCACTGCTTGGCAATTCTGCTACATTTCCCTGGTAAAGTCTTTTTTCCACTTTTTAGGACAAATGTTTTATACCTTCTTTCTCCCCAAAGAAAATAGACAAAATAGAAGCACTACGCCAACAACTCCCTCATCTTCACATCACAGAATACCCTACTATCTACCTCTTAACGTATCCCTACTGGTATCAGTGGCTAATCCCTCTGCTATTATTCTAGATCCCATTTCTTCTCGCCTACTCAAGGACTTCGCTTTCTTTCCTGCATCATACATTATTTCCTCTCTCTGGCATTTTTCCCATGAACATGCAGACATGGTATAGCATCTGTTTCCTTAAAAAATGAAATAAAACCTTACTTGATCCCATGTCCCTTTCCAACTGTTACCTATGAGATTTTTTTCCTCCACTTTATGAGAAAACTAAAAAAATAAAATTGCCTGTACTTGCTGTTTCCCTTCCTTGAGTCTCTTTCTAACCATCCTACTGAAACTGTTTTTATCGAGGTCACTAATTACCTTTCTCTTGCCAAATTCAAAATTCACTTCTTCAGTCTCATTTCAGAGAGGGTGTATGGAATAGTGGTTTAGAACAGTGGTTCTCAAACTTTTTGGTCTCAGGACCCTTTATGTTCTTAAAAAATTATAGACAATTACAAAGAGCTTTTGTTTATGTGGGTTATGTCTGTCAACATTTATCATTATCTGAAATTAAAACAATAATTTTAAAAATATTTATTCATCTTAATAATAAAACCATTACATGCTAACATACATATTTTATGAAAATAACTTTCCAAACAAAAAAAAATATTGCCAAGAAGAGTGACATTGTTGCACAGTTTTGCAATTCTCTTAATATCTGGCTGGAAGGTAGCTGTATTCCCATATGTTTCTGCATTCAGTGGTGATCACATGTCAGGGATCGTCTAGAATACTTCACTGTCCACTCATGTGAGAACGAGAGTACAAGGGGCAAACTTTACTGTGCACTCATAAGACAATGAGAGTGCAAGGATATGCCTTTCTAATATCATGAAAATAGTTTTGACCTTGCAGACCTCCTGAGAAGGTCTCAGGATCCGTAAGGGTCCCCAGGCCACTCTGAGATCCACTGGTTTAGATCATGGACCTTGGAGCCAGACTAAGTAGTTTCCAATCCTAGTTCTGCTACTTTCTATCTGTATGATCTTGGGCAAGTAACTTAACCTCTCTTTCCTCAGTTTTATTTTTGCCTGTTTAAAATAGGAATGATACTGCCGGCCTAAGGATTATTGTAAGGATTAAATGTGTTACTACATGTAAAGCACTAAATGTAAAATACTCAATAAGTTTTTAGTATTACTTAACCTCTCAGTAGCATTCAATGCAATTATTCTGCCTTTTTTGGAAGTTTTTTTCTCTCTTGCCTTCTGTGACACCACACTCTCCTGGTTTTCCTCCTACCCTACTAATGGCTTCTTCTCTATATGCACCTTCTCAATGATGGCCAGTTGTAGGATGTGGAGCAAGAACTCGAAGTCAGGCCTGCCATATTCCAGTGTCTGTACTCTTTCTCTTATCCCATGTTGCTTTCATTCCTGATAGTATCTTTTCCCCTTTTACTTTTAGCCTCTGTCCTGTTTTATTCCTAAGTGTCCTAGATTTGAATGTATTTAACTTAAGCCATTGTAATTTCTTTTTGAAGTAGGCAGGATATGTTAAAAAAAATAATTTGTACCTATATTTGCATTGTGTTATATATGAAAGATACTTGTTGCATTAAAAATTATTAAATGAGTGATTCGTTATTTCTGTGTATTGATTGCTTTAAAATTGAATTTATACATCATTTATCAAAGTTTTTATTTGAGATACAGTTCTAATTATATAAGGCTCCTATTTGGTTGAAACCCCAGATAACTTACAATTCATTAATAGGACACAGTCTAACCAATCTCAGAACAGCAATTACTTTGGTTCCCATCTACTCCTTCCAGTTCCTTCTTCCATTTATCTAACTCTCTGTGTTAAACAACTGTTTTTGTTGCTATCATAGTAGTAGAGGAATACCACAATAGATACTATACTATCTGTCCAGCTCCTGCCTTCCTGGGAGTGTGGTAACTACTCCCCTTTCGCCTGTCCAAAGTACAGAGTAATGCTCTCTCTGGCAGGCAGTTTGGCTGGAAGGGTATCATACCATTTATCACTTCCTCACCCACTCTGTCCCCAGTGACAAGAATATCAGCTAACACCAGAAAGGAGAATTTTGGGGAGATGGGTCACCTCTTACCTCTTTTGTAGCTAAATCCAGGCATTAATAGCTAGTATATTCTGTGCTTTATTCACTCTTCTTTCTTTTTCAGGAAACAAACAGGCTTGTCCATTGTGCCCTAAGGAAAAATTTAGAGCTTGTAATAGTCATAAACTTCGTCGTCACCTTCAAAATTTACACTGGAAAGTCTCAGTTGAATTTGAAGGTTAGTATTTTTGTGATTGTTAAAAAGTTATTTAAATCAAATTCAGCATTTGGTTCCAGTTTTAGAAATTTTTTTTTAAACATAATACAAATGTTTTCAGTTTAAAATTAAGAGGGATTCAATAACCTCTCTTTTGTATTGTGTTTAATAAAAGAATACATATCTCTCAAGCCAATAGATAAATGACACATTTAGTTAGTTCAGCCAACATTTATTAAGCATGTGCTCTGTACTGGGTACCCTCCTTGGCCTTGGTCCACGTTGCTTTTTGAACATAGATTAATACATTATACTTACCTTTTGCAGAACTACTGTGATGTTATACATATTTTGAAGATATAGTAAATCTAGTAAAACAAAATAAAATAATTGATATGAATATTGGGAAAGAGAAGATAACATCTCTTTTTTCACATGATGGCTTTAAAAAAATACGAGAATTATTAAGAGTATTCAGAATGAAAGCAAGATGTAAGATAAATATGCAGAAATCATAGCCTTTATTCTAGAGAGATGGAAATTAGAAAAAAAACACCATTTATAATAGTAACAAAAATGACACAATTTGGGGGAGCACATTTAACAAGAAGATCCATTTAAGAAAAAAAGTTGAAGGACAGAAAAATCCAGAAATCTTATCAAGTTAAAACACTTCCTAAATTCCTAGATAATAAAAACTGAATATCATAAAAATGTCATTTGCCCCCAAATTAATATATATGGAGTTCTGATTAAAATCCCATATTTTAAAATTGTTTGAAGTTTATATGAAACTTCTAACCATACCCATAGTCTCAGAAGTACAGTTACATTGCGTCCCATCTGCTGCGTCCAGTTTCTTCTACCCGAACAGCCAAGAAACAATAGTAAAGACCAACTAGCCAGAAAATAAAACATGCTATAAATGTAGTATAATAAAAATAACCTAATGACGTAGGATGAGACAAATCACTAGACCCAAATAGAGAACACAGAAATAGATGCGAGTGGATATGGGAATTTACTACATGACAAAGGCGCCATTACATGTTAGTGGGAAAGAATAGTTTAAACAGTAATTGTGTTATAACTTGTTATCCATCTTGAAGAAAAAATCTGTCTCACCCTAAATTTAAAGCAAATTTCTTATGAATTAGAAAATTAAATGTTAATAAAGAATTTACAACGAAATTTAGGTGATGTCTGTCCAAGGATGAACCCAAAAACTATAATAAGAAAATTTAGACTATTTCAACTATTTGAAAATTAACTAAGACAAGAAACCCAAAAACTATAATAAGAAAATCTAGACTATTTCAACTATTTGAAAAATTAACAACTTTTGTATGGCCAAAGAAACCACAAATTGGAAAAGTGATTGGGAAATAAATATGTACAATAAATGTAGTTGGCAGATAAAAGGTTACTATAATAGACAAACCCACTGCCATCAGGTCGATTCCAACTCATAGCAACTCCTTATGGTTTCCAAGGGTGTAAATCTCTACAGAAGCAGACTGCCACATCTTTCTCCTGTGGAGCTGCTGGTGGTTTCAAACCACTGACCTTTCAGTTAGTAGTCAATTGCTTTAACCACTGCGCCACCAGGGGTCTTGTAATAGACAAAGAGCTTTGAAAATTGATTAAAAAGAAGAGAATACCTAATAGAGAAGTGAACAAAGATACGAATGACAACTCATAAAAAAAACATAATCAAACGGCCAATAAGCATTTTTAAAGATGTTGATCTTTCCAGTGGTTAGGAAAGTGTAAATTAAAATAAAAAAGACATTATTTCTCAACCATCAGGTTAGCACAAGGTGAAAAGGGATTTTATAAAAAAAAAAAAAACTCTAAATACCAACCTTGAATATGTGTATACTTATATGTAACTGTATAAAGGTAGAAGTTGTTAAATGTGGTTACCTGGAGTTTAAACCAAACTGTATGAAACTACAGAAAAGAAGTTTGAACTATGCTGTGACCGTTTCCTTAGCAGTACTGGTTAAAGATTGTAACTAGACCTTTAGGGAATGGAAATTAAAGACTAACTCTGATACCATCCTGTCTTTTATGTTTATACATAAGGATATATAGAAAACCATATTGACTTCTTATAAAAAAGAAAAAAAGGAAACTCTTGTTATTTTAATTAAAAAGTTCTCTTTTGTATTCTTTATTAAGGCCATTGTTTAACCATTATTTTTGGTTTCTGTCTTCCAAGTTATTCTCTCCTCTTAAATGGCTTGTGATATTTCTTATGGGTGTGGGTTCTCATGTACATCAGGCTATTGGGGTCTTTCACATGGTGGTGATATGATAGACGATGAAGATATGACAGTTTTTATCTTACTGAGCAGGCTGTAAAGTAGTTGGTAAATGTGTTAATGATACAACCAACAAGATCTGCTGATGGATTGGATATGAGATTTGAGAGAATCAGTAATGCTTGGGTTTGGGCCTTGAGGAACTAGAAAAATGGAGTTATACTTTACTGAGCTGGAGGAGACTGCATGAGGACCAGGTGTGAAGAAGAAGACTAGGACCTCAAATTTGGACATGTAAAGATGGAGGTGCATCTGAGATGAGAAGGCAGAGAGGGTCAGGAGCTGGTTGAATGGACATGGGAAATCGGGTGGAAAGGAAGAATGTGCTGTCACAGTATAGGGAGAGCAATTAGGGTCACATAACAGTGTATGTATAAATTTTTGTATGAGAGACAAACTTGAACTGTAAACTTTTATTTAAAGTACAACAATAAAATAAAAATAAAAAAGATTGAGATGCATCTAAGTAGAGATGTCAGGTAGACTGTAGGGGATATGAATGTGGAGATTTGGGGAAAGGTTTGGTTAGATAGATACATTTGGGAGTTGTCAGAATATGGATGATATTTAAAGCCATGAGACTGAATAAGTGTATATAGATGGAAAAAAGAATTCAGGTGATATCTGAGTCCTAAGGCACTTCAACATTTAAAAGAGAAGTGATTGGATATAAGTAAGGTTCGAAAAGAAAGGAGTTAGAGATAACTTAGAGGCTTTGAGTTAGGAATGACTGTAAGGCATTATTGGATTTCATTTTACTTGGATCCCCAGTCAACACCCACGGAAGCAGCAGTCAAGAAATCAAATGACGGGGGACCTCATACCACCAAGAAAGAAGCGCTGGGAGCAGAGCGCATCCTTTGGATCCAAGGTTCCTGTGCAGAGAAGACTGATGATGATGAGGACCTTCCTCCAGAGCCAACAGAGAGAGAAAGCCTTTCCCTGGAGCTGACGCCCTGAATTTGAACTTCTAGCCGACTGGACTGTGAGAAAATAAATTTCTCTTTGTGAAAGCCATCCACTTGTGGTATTTCTGTTAGAGCAGCACTAGATGACTAAGACACCTTGCTTGAAGAAATGATAGCATTTAGCAAGGAGACAGCGAAGAGGAATACTCTTGAGTTGAGCCCAGAAGGTGTGTGCTGCTTCTATTGTGGATGGAATGAATTATCCCCATTTGCCTGGACAGTAAGGTCATTTTTCTCACCAGAAATAGAAGACATTAATCATCAGTGCTGGAGAGTGACATTTGGGACAAGAAGAAACGAGCAACTGCAGCAGGAGGTGTTGAACTGAGTCAAGAGGATTGTCAGTCCTGCAGGTCCTTCCATCATGACGCCCCCCCCAAGGACATCTGGAACGTTACTGGTGCCCAGGTGTACTTGAGCTGTGAGGTCATCGGAATCCCAACTCCTGTCCTCATCTGGAACAAGGTTAAAAGGGTCACTGTGGAGTTCAAAGGACAGAATTCTTGCCTGGTGACCGGGACAACCTGGCCATTCAGACTCGAGGTGGCCCAGAAAAGCATGAAGTAACTGGCTGGGTGCTGGTATCTCCTCTAAGTAAAGAAGATGCTGGAGAATATGAGTGCCATGCATCCAGTTCCCAAGGACAGGCTTTGGCATCAGCAGAAATCACAGTGGTTGATGCCTTACATGAAATACCAGTGAAAAAAGGTGAAGGTGCTGAGCTATAAACCTGAAGAATATATCAGTCTGCATCGCTTAAAGTAGTCATGGATAACTACAACCCCTGTTCTTGTCTAATAACTAGTTTCTTTTAATCCAGTCCACTAATGCTTTAATTATATTCATTGATTTTACACAGAAAATTACAAAGTAAAGATAACACATCAAGACTGTCTACAAAAATTTGTTGTTTATTTACAGAACAAAGAAAGAAAAGCATGCATATTATTAAGACAAATAAAATGCTTTTTCAGGCAAAAAAAAAAGAAATGACATACTACATTGGACAAATCTGCTGCAAAAGACCTCTTTAAAGTGTTGGAAAACAAAGATGTCACTTTTGAGGACTAAGGTACACCTGACCCAAGCCATAGTATTTTCATTCACTTCATATGCGTGCGAAAGCTGGACAATGAATAAGGAAGATAGAAGAATTGATGCCTTTGAATTATGGTGTTCACGAAGAATATCAAATATACCATGGACTGCCAGAAGAACAAACAAATCTCTCTTGGAAGAAGTATGGCCAGAATGCTCCTTAGAAGGGAGCTTTTCATCTCACGTATTTTGGGCATGTTATCAGGAGGGACCAGTCCCTGGAGAAGGACATCATGTTTGGTGAAGTAGAGGGTCAGTGAAAAAGAGAAAGACCCTCAGTGAGATAGATTGACACAGTGGCTGCAACAGTGGGCTCAAACATAGCAACAGTTGTGAGTATAGCACAGGATTGGGCAGTATTTCACTCTGTTGTAAATAGGGTCACTATCATGGATTGAATTGTGTAAATTGGGTCACTATCATGGATTGACAAAAATATGTCAGCTTGGCTAGGCCATGATTCCCGGTATTGTTTGGTTATCCTCAATTTTGTGATCTGATGTAATTGTTCTCTGTGTTGTAAATCCTAATCCCTGCCTGTGGTTAATGAGACAAGATGAGGTTATGTTAAAGAAGACTAGGGTGGGATGCAACACCCTTACTCAGGTCACAGCCCTGATCCCATGTAAGGGGAGTTTCCCTGTGGTGTGGCCTGCATCACCTTTTACATTAGAAGAAAAGTGAGCAGAGAAGGAGGGACCTCCTCCCACCAAAAAAGAAGAGCTGGGAGTACAGTGCATACTTTGGACCTGAGGTCCTTGCGCTGAGAAATTCCTAGACCCAGGGAAGATTGATGACAAGGACCTTCCCCCAGAGCCAACAGAGAGAGAAAGCCTTCCCCTGGAGCTGGTGCCCTGAATTCGGATTTCTAGCCTCCTAGACTATGAGAGACTAAATTTCCGTTTGTTAAAGCCATCCACTTGTGGTATTTCTGTTACAGCAGCACTAGATAACTAAGACAGTTGCTATGAGTCTTAACCAACTCGATGGCATCTAACAACAACAAGGGTACAAGAAGGGGAAGAGGATCTGTAAAGAACATTAAGGGTAGGAAGACAACCAAGATAGTGCCATGTCATAAACAAAAAAGAGGGTGTATAGTGGTAACTGTAGCATAAGGCAGAAAAGCGGAAGCTGAAGAAAAAGTCAAGGTGGCAGAGAGCAGATGATAAAACTGAGACTCAAAGAATGCTGACAGAAGCAAATTGGATCTACTGTATTTGTTTTTGTTTTTTGTTGTTCTAATTTTTAATTTTTGGTGGAACATTTTTATATTATACATAAGTATGTAAACTTAGGCAACTGCATTCAAATAAATTGATGACATTACAAATATAAGAATAATCTCAATTGTTATAAAGTAAAATTTGCTAATTTTTTTTAGAAATTAGGTTAAGTTTAATAATATTTAATGATAATTAAATGTTTAGTGAACAATGATAAGACAACAAGCTATTCTTTATTCTAGGTTACAGGATGTGTATCTGTCACTTACCTTGTCGACCAGTAAAACCAAACGTTACTGGAGAACAGGTAATCAGAAATTAGCCTTTTTTTTTTTTTTTAATTTAGCCCTCTTTAAAGAAAGTGCAATTTTTACTTGCTTTAGAGTTGGCATTGTGGTTTACTTTAAGATTTACATATTATGCATCGATTCATACTCATCCTCCCCATGCTCTTCCCATTTTACTTTAATTTTCCAAAGGACAGAATCAAGAAACTCTGAAATCTTAGCAACTTCTTTAAAAGTACATGTGTTCATTTTTAAGATAGGTTTGACCTTTGGGGAAAACAAAATATAAAATATTTATTAGTGACATCCTGAATGTATACTAGCTTAATGAGTTCTCATTATTAAGTTTTCTTTGGGGTCACTAAAAACAGGAAAGTGCTAGGAAAGAAGCAGTGGTCCTATGTAGTAGTTAGGACAGTGCCTAGTCCATCAAACCCTGGTTAAAATCTTTTGAATATGGTAACCGCTGTACCAGAAGGAACCCTGTGCTATATTCTTCACTCGCTGTAAGGTCTCCAGTAAGTAGGAGGTAGAAGCACTAAGAGTAAAAGGCATCAAAACTGATACAGTTCTTTAGGGGAGTCATAGAAAGAGCCATTGGAATAGTGTTTTTGTTTCAAATTATGAAGACATTATGAAGTGAGAATTTTTTACTTGGCAGAATATACTTTTTGTTTCATCCCTAATATTCAGTGGTGTGCTAGAAGTAGCTCAAATTTTCAGAAATCTTGCGAGCGGGTTGTTAAACATTAAAAATTAATGTTACCCATCATTAAAAGTTAAATTATGTAAACTTATAATTAAATAAATTATATTAAAAACAAAGTTAATAAATACTCAAAATTCACCACTCCCTAATTATTTTACTACATTTTACTGTTAATCTGTACTCTTTAGATTGGTGAAAATGCTCTGCAATGGCACGATACTGTACATCTCTTCCGAAATTCTCACTTAGTGGTGTCACATTGCTCACTCGAAATCTGTCACAATCGTAGCCTGAAGTCGGCTGCAGTGGGAGGATTTATACCACATAAATCTGCAAATGCTACAAATCAGGGCTTTATTTTTCTAGAGGGCCTGTTGATAAACATTTACCAGTATACCATTGCTAACATTATATCATTTGTAGTTGCAGCTTGTAGAATATAGTATACAATTATTTGCTGATTAGAATGAATGAGAAATACTAGGAAGTTAAACTTGTAGCCTGTTTTAAAGTAAGATTTAAAAGCATATGTAAATATAGGTAAGGAAGTAAAGATCCTTTCAAAGTCATGTGGCAAAATTAATACTTCTGTACCATGAAACCCAAGACACCCTAACATACTTAAATTTGCAAACTTAAATAAAATTCCATTTATGTCTTAGTAATTTATTTAAATTGAATACTCTTTTCGATAGATATCCAGTAAAATGGGCGCCCATTATCATTGTATCATTTGTTCAGCAACAATCACTCGAAGGACGGACATGCTCGGACATGTTAGGCGCCATGTGAATAAAGGAGAGACTAAATCCAGGTATATTGTTGGTAAGTTGAGCAGTCTCATTAATATGTTAATATGGAAATCCTTAAACAATGATTGTTTTATTTTCACACATTAGGCAGAAAAAATATAGTGATTTAACCAAATTATTTCGTTGACTATTAATCTGTTGCTTCAGGATTTGTTTTCTTTCTGCGAGGTTTACAACAACATTAACATTCAACTGTTCTCAACAATATATTTAATAAGTAGAATAGAAAAAAGCAAGTGACATGTAGGTAGCTTAATGAAAGATTGTAAGATGATATTCATTCCTAATGACAACTTCTACACTGATTAGCTATCATATATTACACTTAAGGTTGAAAAACACTGGAAAAAGAAGGTAGAGTGAAATAAAGACCGTTTGTTATTCTGAGTGATTTCATATCATTAATAGCTTGTTAATACTTAGGCAGCCTTTCTCAAGAATTAAGTCCTGATGCCCTAAGATAGCGATTGTCTATAATGAATTAACTTATCTCCTATGCATCTAGCATGGTACTATGTACCATTCTTTTAAGAATTGAAAAAATAGTCACTGAGATAGTTTTCTGTAGAGCTTAGTTTTCTCACAGAACCTGGTGTGAGAAAGGCTGACCTTATGATATATGTGACATACCTCTTTGGTGGGTATGGAAGGATATACAGCACAACACTAAGAAGGGTAACTGGTATTGCAGAAAGAAAAATATGGTTATAGTTAATGTTCTTACTGTAATATCAAGTCCAGACATAAAGGATCTCAATTATTTCTCCCTGTATATGTCTCATTTCTTAAATATTTAAAACACATGTACACACACATCAATTTATTTCATTTGGGTTTACAGCTAAATGATTCTAATGTATAATGTATGTAGAATCATTTTTTTCTATTACTGTCTAGCTGTTTGAATGTGATTTGTGATTTAAAACCATAATTATGAGAAAGTATTCTAAAGTCCAGCATGTTCAGGAAATATAGTGATTCTTAGCCAGCCATGCTGACTAATGGAATATTAACTATGAAGAGATACTAATTTTCTAAATATCACAGTAAAACATATTTAGCAATCAACCTATACTAGCACAGTGTAATATTTTACGAGTCAAAAAGGTATTTTAGGGTTTTATGCTATCTTTGATTGTTCTTAATTAGATATCAATACAGATGTATTGATGCGCTAGGCAGTCAAGACTAAGTTAATAAACTTTCATTCATCAAATTCTTAACTGAGTAACTCTTTCCCTACACGATGCAGATAAGTCAGTTTTTTTGTCTTTGTTTTTGTATCCAACTGATTGTATTAACACAAAATATTATAAAAATAATTTTTCAAATGTGTATTTTCCATGTTGAGAATTATTTTATATTTCCAAGAAATCTTTTTTTTTCCATCTTAGCTTCCGCTGCTAAACCACCTAATGAAGTTCTGAAAGAGGCAGACACAGATGTACAAGTTTGTCCTAACTGTTCTATACCTCAGAAGACAGATTCCTACTTTAATCCCAAAATGAAACTAAATCGGTAAGATAAACTGAAAAAAGGGTATTGGGGTATTTCAAATAATTACAAATGTACCTTCTCTTAACCTTAATGTTCAAATATATTAAAATCTAAAACTAGGCACAGAATGAAGATAATCTATTTTAACATCATCTCAGAATAATTGTTTCCTTTTTTTTTTCTTTTAACCAAACCAATTTCCTTCTCAAAGTAAAATAGGCCTAACATAATGTAATTAGTGGGCAGACTGGTGTTTTTGTGGGCAAGGTTTATTTGTAAATCATTATTTATTGTGAATGATAGTTAATAGAACCCAGTTAACTTGATAATTTCACAGATTTTTAGTGTTTGTACTACTAGGTTAGGAGTATGTTGTTAGATCTCTTTATAAAATAGTTTGTAATAGGGACCCCAATTCTGACTATTTTTAAATGAAATAAAATCCAGTAGCGAAGCCATGATGTAGTAAAATTATTTCAGATTATTACAATTTCTTCTAGACAGCTAATATTCTGTACATTGGCTGCTTTGGCTGAGGAGCGAAAACCTTTGGAATGTCTAGATGCCTTTGGAGCCACTGGTAAGTAACAAAGCTTTTTTAGAAACTCATTTATCAGATTCATACAGTATGTTTTCTTAGAGAATTTACATGGATATCACATCTAGCAGGATATTTTGATTTTTAAAAAATGTAAATATTTAAGTTGAAAATTTTTAGAGAGTATAATGAATCTTCAGGTATCCATCACTTGACCTTCAAAAACTATCAATTCATGCTCAATTTTGTTTCATCTCTACCCCCGTGCACTTTCCCTCATTCCTCCATCCCTGTTATTTTGAAACAAATCCCAGGCTACATATCATTAATCTGTAAATACTTTGACTGATCTTTAAAAGATAAGGACTTTGTAAAAATAAAACCATGTTACCATTATCACACCTTAAAAGTTAATAATAATTCTTTAATATCATCAAATGTTCAGACGTCCCCAATTATCTCATAATTTTTTTAAACAGTTCAAATTAGACTCCAGGTAAAAACTGGGTATTTCAGTTAATTGTGTGATATGTCTCTTTAGTCTCTTTTTAATTTACGTTTCCTTCCATCTTTTCTTCTTTTTTTTTTTTTCTTAGCAGTTATTTGTTGACTTACCAGGTCGTTTGTCTTATAGAATTTCTCACAGTCTAGATTCTTGCTCATTGTATCCCTCTGGTTCATATAACATGTTCCTCTGTCTCCTATATGTTTTATAAGTTGGTGGGTAGATTTTCAGATTTGTTCAGATTCAGATATGTGTGTATATTTTTTGGCAAGAATAGTTTATAAATAGTAGTTTACTTCAATCAGAAAGCACCTAGTATCTAGTCCTCTCTTTTTTGGTGATGTGATGCTCATTGCCTAGGCATTAGACAATGGGGTAAGGTGAAATTTTAAAGATTGAGAACATTTTTCCCAAATGGATTTACGAGTAGAGAAAATATAATGGAAAGAGTAGAAAAATTCTAAAAATCTATTTGTACCAATCCATCTTTCTTCTTAAATGTTATGGGAGGTACTCTCGGGAAGTTTGTACCAAAAGAGTAAAAAGCATGGCTCAGTTCTTCTTCCTAAGCTCCTTTCCTGAGGGAAAAGAAGTGGTTAATAGCATGACTGTGGAGCCTGACTGCCTCACTTCAAATCCTGACTTCATGACATACTAGCTGTGTGACCACAGGAAATTGTGCCTCAATTTCCTCATCTATAAAAAAGAGAGGAGTACTAGTTACCTACCTTAAATAAAGGAACCCTGGTGGTGCAGCAGTTTAGCGCTTGGCTTCTAAGTGAAGGGTTGGTGGTTCAAACACACCCAGTGGCTCCATGGGAGAAAAGACCTGGCAATCTGCTGCTGTAAAGATTACAGCCTAGAAAACCCTGTGGGACAGTTCCACTCTGTCCCATGGGGTCACTATCAGTGAGAAATCAACCCAGTGGCACAGGACAAACAACAAACAACAGAACCTCACAATAATGTGAAGATTAAGTAAAATAATTAACATGTAAGAGAACTTGAACAGTACCTGGTATATACATCAAGTGCTATAAAAGCATTAGGTATCATCATTATTATATTATTACTACTGTTGTACCACTGTCATCATCAGCAGTCTCATGTCTCAGTGTAAATAGGGTTAAAGTGACGAGACAATGCTTTTAAGCATCTGAGCCACTCAGACTTGAAATGTAAATCATTTTTAATCCTTTTCCCTCTTCTGTCCCCACATCCACTCAGTCACTGAGTTCGTTCTAATATTTCTTTTGTAATATGATTCATTCTTTTTCTATTCCATATCCACCAATTTAATTATTTTTTCACAGGCCTATGGCAGTAACCTCTCATTCATATCCTTGCTTCCAGTCATTTCTCTCCTCTCCAGTCTATATTGCATGCTATTGCTCTGAATAACTACATTGATAATGTTACTTCTCAGTCAAAAAAGTCGTGCATCTTTATTGCCTAAATAGAGTCCAGACTTCTCAGACTGTGATTTAGTATCCTCCATAATCTGATCCCAACCTACTTATCCAAAGTTATCTCCCAGTGTTTTCCCTCATACAACCCTTTTTCTCTACTCTTTTTTTCATCTGAAATCATTAAAGCAATGTCTAGGGAAGATCTTTTCAGCCTTTTTTTTTTTTAATATGCCTTTGTAAACTTATATCCGGTACATCACATTCATTTTGCAGGTTTCTTTATTCCTAAAATGAGGATATTACAGTTTATCTCACGAACTGGTGAGAATATGAAAAAGGTATATTTAAAATCCATAGCACATAGTAGATGGTATTTTTTTCCATTTATCCAGCACATGTACAGAGAAGATGGTCAATACTTCAACACAGAGGTGTTTTCTAACCCATATTTACTGGGCTTACGTCACCATCTCTCATTTTGTAATGAATGCCTCTTACGGGTCTGATCGAGTAGGCATGGAAAGCCTGTGTGAAGGGATTTTCCTGTTCTGAATTATTTTTGATCATTTACTGACTTATACAAAGTCGTTCTTTGTAATTCTCAATGATGTTGTTTGAAAAGCATTGGTCTACGAAAGTTATTTTTACATTTTGGTGCATTCAGGTAAACTTCAACAGGAAGAGTTTCAACTTCCCATCTCCCTTTAAATGGAATAACTTCACACTTAACCATATTATATATTGGGCTGCTCTTTAAGATTTTGTTTAAAAAAGTGTCCTATTATAAGAATAAAAGAAAAACCAGTAATGAAAACAACAACCACCTACTATTCCACAAAGTAAAGAACATATCTAGGTACTTTATTTGAATGAAGATCATTTTTTAAAGTATTTTAAGTATTAATAAAAATATTTTAGGCAGATTTTTTTCAAATAGACTTTTTTTTAAAGCAGTTTTAGGTTTACAGGAGACTTGTACAGAAAGTACAGAGCGTTCCCACTTACCCCCTTTCTACCCTGCACTCTGTTTCTCTTATATTAACGTCTTGCATTTGTGTGCTACATGTGCAATTGACAAGCCAATATGTACATTATGACTCACTAAAGTCTATAGTGTACATTCCCGTTCACTCTTTGTATTGTACAGTCCTGTGTGTTTTGACAAATGCATGATGTCATGTGTCCACCAATTTAAGTATCGTACAAAATAACTGCCCTAAAAATGCTTTGAGTTCCACCTATTCATTCTTGCTCCCTTTCTCCTAACCCTCTGGAAACCACTGATCTTTTTAATGTCTCTGTGCTTTTGCCTTTTCTAGAATCTAATATAGTTGGAATCATACAGTATGTAGCTTTTTCAGGCTGGCTTCTTTCACTTAACAAAAATCAGTTGACTTTATTTGTGTGTCTGTTCTTGGTCTCTCTGTTCTGTTTTGCAGATCTATTTGTCTGTGTCTTTGCCAATATCACACTGTCTTGATGACTGTAGGTTTATAGAAGGTCTTGAAGTCAGATAATCCTCCAACTCTGTTCTTCAGTATTGTGTTGGCTCTTCTGGGTCTTTTGCCTTTTGCATATAAACTTTGAAATCAGTTTGTCAATATCCACAGAATAATTTGCTGAAATTTTGACTGGAATTGTGTTGAATTTATAGATCATGTTGGAAAGAATGGACACTTTAATAATATTAAGTCTTATCCGTGAACGCACCACCTGTCTGTTTGTCGTACTGTGATGGCTTGCATGTTGCTATGATGCTGGAAGCTATGCCACTGGTATTTCAAATACCAGCAGAGTCACCCATGGTGGACAGGTTCCAGTGGAGCTTCCATACTGAGACAGACTAGGAAGAAAAGCCTGGTGATCTACTTGAAACCTTATGGATCACAACAGAATGTTGTCTAGTATGGTACTGCAAGATGAGCCCTTGTGTTTGAAGACACTGTACAGTAGCTGCAACAATGGACTCTAACATACCAACAATTATGAAGATGACCCGAGACCAGGCATTGTTTCATTGTGTTAACATAAGGTCACCATGAGCTGGAGTCAACATCAACTGACGACAACATCCATGAACATGGGCTATGTCTCCATTTATTTAGATCTTTGATTTCTTTCATAAGAGTTTTGTAGTTTTCCTCTTACAGATCTTGTACATACTTCTTTTAGATTTATACCTAAGCATTTCATTTCTTTGGCGTTAATATAAATGGTGTTGCATTTTTAATTTCAAATTCCAAAATTTATTTTGATCACTTTTCCTGAGAAGCTCTCTAGTGAGAAAATAGAATAAGAATTATTTATGAAAATATTAAGATTTAAAAACAATTTGTTATTTATAAAATTATATTCTTTATTATTATCACATCTTTTTTGTTTAATTATTGCAACTTAAAAACTCATTTTCCTCCCCATTTCTCCTAAGGGATAATGGGATTACAGTGGGCAAAGCATCTTGGCAATGCAGTAAAGGTTACAATTAATGACTTGAATGAAAACTCTGTGACATTGATTCAGGAAAACTGCCATTTAAACAAATTGAAAGTAGTGGTGGATAGTAAGGAAAAGGAAGACGGCGATAATGTTCTTGAAGAAGGAGAGGAAAACCTTGCTAATATTAAGGTGACCAAAATGGATGCCAACGTACTGATGCATTTGAGATCTTTTGACTTCATGTAAGTTAAAAAGATTTGCTTTGTCATTATCTAAACTGATCCAGTTTTTTGTCATCGTTGTTTTTAATTAAGATAGCTTATTGTTCACTTTGGTTGTTTATTTAATACAATTTTTGGTTTTGGCTTAAAGGAAGCAGTAAGAAAATTTTCTAGCATTTGAAATAAAATTCTCGGACATGAAACTTTTCCTCTAAACTTGATTTATTTTTGCGTGTCTGACATAGCATATGATCAGTTTATTACTTTAAAAACAGAATTACTTCTCTAAAATAGATTTGTAAAATAATTTTGAATCCATGGAATTTTATTATTAGCAATAATTACAGTGATACAATTTTGATTATTAATATGATTTCAATATGTATGTATTCTTTCTGATCCTAGACATCTAGACCCTTTTGGAACATCAGTGAACTATCTAGATTCTGCTTTCAGAAATATAAGAAACCTTGGCATAGTTTCAGTGACTTCTACAGATATCAGTTCTTTATATGCAAAGGCGCAACATGTTGCTCGGCGTCACTACGGCTGTAACATTGTCCGAACCGAATATTACAAGGAACTAGCAGCCAGGATTGTTGTAGCTGCAGTGGCAAGGTACCAAATAGCCAAGATGTACCTCATATGTCTTGGTATATGATAAAAAGAAATAATATTGCAAGAAGTACTTCTTATTTTTCAAATGATGCTCAAAATATAAATTCTGTATTCATATTTCTAATCTGGATTTGTTTGGTAATCTTACGTCATAACTGTTAGAATTTGATTTAAAAGCTTCAGTTTAAAAATATTCAGTTTACTCTCTAACTTAAAATGTTATTAAAGAGTAATTTAAGTAGTAAAAAAGAAAAGATAAAAATGAAATTTACTTTGAAAACAGTTTATTCCAGCATTGTAGGGTAGATACGAGATCACAAGAAAAAGAAAAGCAAAAATTGTCTTTAGATTTAGCAACAATAATTTGCTTTATGTCCATTTCACCTTATCTTTATTTACAAAGTTTGATTAAAATGATGGCTTACACATTTGATTCTGCAAAATTATATTATCTGTAATAAAACAAAATGTTATCTCTATTTCTCATCAGGATTTCTAAACAATTGAATATTCAAGAAAGACTTTTTATGATCACTCATTATTTGTAATTTGGCTCTGCTTTTTTAAAGGATTTATGGTCTAGTCTGAACATTCAAAAAATTATTGGCATTTATTTGCAGGAAATAACATCTTTGTCAGTTTTTTAATACCATTATAATTCTAAGGACTGTTGGTTAGGCAACAGTAAAGAACAGTAAACACATCAAGTGTAAATAATGGATAATCAGCCAGCTCACTCACTAGCCCTAACACTGATTTCACAGCTTTTAGATTAAAATTTCTACTTCAGCGTAAGTACAGATATTTAAACGTCATAGATCTTCAGGGTTATTCGTAATTGACTGAAAACTCTGATATTAAATGTATATATGCCAAGGACCTACTGCATATACTTTGAAATGTTTATAATGTAACATCAACAAATTCAAATTAATATATATGAACTAAGTTTAGTGTATGAGTACAAAGAGAAAACCACATAAATGGTACATCAAGTGGAACGTAATCAGAAAAGTTTGTAAAATTAATGGTCTCAAGGACCTTGTTCATTTATTACTGAATGTTCAACAGCTAGCCTACTATCCTGCATGTACCCAGTAGTCAATAAATATATATCATTTGGAAGAAGGTTTTGTAGGAAAAAACTGGATTAAAAAGGGAAAAAAATGGTGGTGATGACAAGAAACAAAGTGATGGTGAAAACCAGAGAATATAGTACTATTGACAGGACATCCTGAGGGCAATGTCGAATGACTAAACACCCAGCAAGCAGCCTTTGTTTCCTGTATTTCAGTGTGCGGAAGTTACAGTGATGATCTTTTAAAAAGCACTAGTACTAAGAATTGAATTTTCCTTGATTTTCCATAACCCACCTGTAGTTTACTCCGAGTTAATATTGTCAGTATAATGCCAAACAAAGGAAAATGAAAATGCCCCAAAATAACTTTTTAAAAATTTTACAGAGCTGCAGCCCGATGTAACAAAGGCATAGAAGTACTGTTTGCAGTGGCTCTGGAACATTTTGTGTTGGTGGTTGTGAGAGTTTTGAGGGGGCCTACCTCAGCAGATGAAACAGCCAGAAAGATTCAGTACCTGATCCATTGTCAGTGGTGTGAAGAGAGAATTTTTCAGAAGGAGGGTAATATGGTAGAAGGTAAATTCAAGTTTCTCATGGCTGTATTTTGTTTACTAAATATGTAAGCCTCTGATGAATAAACCTTTATCATATCCCTAATTATACATATTGTTGTCCTTTGATTTTTAAGATTACAGTGCTAACTTTGTTATTTCCTATACTGGATTTCCTTTCATCAACAGACAAGACATTCGTGTGAGTGTACTAAAGTTATTTATTCATGCTATACAATTTATGCTGTCTAGCCCTGCCCTTTACTGAAACGTCTAGAAATAACTTAGTTTCTACTGTCACTAATTTTAGGAAGATAAGTCAGATTGCCTCTTTGTCTAGGCTGTTTCAATTAATGAATTTAATTTTGTAAAAATAGTTTTCATGCTTCTGACTGAATATAAAAGCCATCAGTTATAAAATTCATTCAGTAAACATTTATTGAGCCTCTACTATCTGCCAGGCCTGGGTATACAAACAAAAAGATGTGAGTTGTGTCCTCATACCACTGTTTGTTATTTGCTTTCCTGGGAAATAGAAAAAATCACTCATTGTTTTCTATTAGTTTCTCGGTATTTTTAATATGATTTTTTTAGAGCTATTTATGAGAGTTTAGCCCTTGTAATATGAATTACAAATATTTTTTCTCAGTTTGTCACTTATGTTTGCATCTTTTTTTTTTTTTTTTAATTGCCAGGTAAAACTTACGTTGTTTTTGTAAAGTTAATCAAACTTTTCTTTTATGTATTCTGGGTTTTGTCTGTAGTTAGAAAGCTTTCCTACTCCTAGATTATGCAAGAATTTTCTCTTGTTTTATTGATGTGTTTGAGTTGGTTTCCAGATTTTCTGTTCTATTTCAGTGGTCAGTACTTATGCAGTGGTCTGTTCATACACATGTACCACACTGTTTTGTTACAGAATATTTTTAGTGTTGTTTAATATCTAGTAAGCAATCCCTCCTGGAACTCTTAGTTTTCAGAGTGTTCCTGGGTTTGTTTAATTTTGTTTCTTAGTTAAAAAGTAATAAACCAGCTGCTATTTTATTTTAATCACATTAAATTAGGAAGGATAGAAATTGTTGTGGTTTTGAAGCTTTTTGTCTAAGGCCACAGTATGCTTTTCATTTTTTTCAAGTACTTTTAGTACAGCATTAGTTGATGGTGGTGGTAAAAGGTATCCTTGTCTTGTTCCTTATTTTGGTTATGTCTAGTGTTTTTTTGATTGAAGCATGATACCGGCTTTTCATCTGAGATACCTATCATTTATCATGTTAAGGAAGCGTCTTTCAATTCCACTTTTACTGTATTTTATCAATATGTTGAATTTTGTCATATGCCTTTTCAGCATCTGTGGACATGATTATGTGGTTTTTCTCCTTTGACTTATTATTTTTATTAATTGTAATAGAATTTCCCAATATTGAACCATTCTGGACTTCCTAAAACTCTACTTTGTCAGGAAGTATTCTTTTATCAGGAAGTATTCTTTTAATATGTTACTGGATTCTATTTGCTAATTTTTAAAAAAGGGTTTCTGTTGTAATATTTATAAATGAGGTGGTGTGTAGTTTTCCTTTTTAGCGTAATTTGGGTTGGACTTTGGTATCGGTGTTTAAAGTCCCCTCAAAAAGAATTTGGAGCTTTTCCTTTTTCTCAGTGCTTGGGGACAGATTGACTAGCACTGGAATTATTTGTTCTTTACAAGTTTAGCAGTAGTCACCAAGCTTTTCTAATTTATTTACATGGAGTTGAGCCAGGTTGTGCCTTATGATTCTTTTTGCTTTCCTTGGTTTCTTCAGAAACAATCTGTACCTTCAATTCTTGAGTCTTTCCAAAGTTCAGCAACACCAATGTGCTTGGTGTTTTTCTTGTAGCCCTTCCACCCATTTTAAGCTTAGGCTTTAGCTTTCTCAGAGTCTGCCAAATCAGTTATCCCCGTGTGTATCTTATTTCTTGCTTCTAAAATTTTATGGGCATTTGTCATCTGTTGTTGCCTCTTCTCCCATCCTTGGAGTTTGATTTTTATTCCTTTGCTCTAATTTTAATGAAGTTTTAAGAGACAGCACCAATAAAGTATGTGTTCAATCCATTGCATTTAAATAGAAGTCTCGAGTATTTTTTAATTCCTCATCAGGAATTGCTTTCGTAGGCTATATACCAATAACATGGGAATACTAGTTGTCGTTCTTTCTTCATTGTTGCTAGTTGTCATCTGAGTCTTTGTCCTTTCTTTTTTTGCTACCCCAAAACCAAAACCAAACCCATTACCATCGAGTTGATTCCGACTCATAGCAGCCCTATAGGACAGATTAGAACTGCCCCATAGGGTTTCCATAGCTGTAAGTCTTTACGGAAGGAGATTGCCACATTTTCTCCTGCAGAGCGGCTGGTGGGTTCGAACCACCACCCTGTCAGTTAGCAACCAAGTGCTTGACCACTGTGGCACCAGGGCTCCTTTTTTTTTTTTGTTTGTTTGTTACCAGTAACTTGAAATGAAAGTTTTGGCCCTTCAGAAGGAGAATTTGCTTATTCTTACCTAGAACTGAGATATCCTAGCAGAGGGGCTTGGGTAAAGACATAGGTTTGAATGTTGAGAGCATTTTGTAAAGTGCATCAAGATACAAACTGACTAATACAAATTTATGTGTGTGCTGCCTATCTGTGGTAAGTGGATGTAACTGACAGAACCATAAATATACAGTGTCCTAAGTTGAATAATGACTGTCTATAAATATTTGTAGTTTAACTGTTTAATGGTTCAAAGGAAGTCTTCTTGAGTATACTCATATGTAATAGTTGAAGAACATAATTCTCAACAGAGATAATACAGGTAGTCCCCGATTTATAATGGGGTTCGGTTCCGATGACTCTGTCATAACTTCGTCCTGAAGTAAGTCAAATACCTCTTTTTTTTTTTTTTTCAATTTTCATTAGTATTGCCATTTATTATCAGTAGCTTTATAAATCCAATCTTTGTACCAATCTGTGAGTGAACATCTGAGAATGATAACATCAACAGATTACGTGCTGTAGCATTGTAGTACGTGTTACTAACAATAAGATGTAAAAAAACAAAACCAGACAGTTGTAAGTGCCGTTCATCTTGAATGTGTCATAAATCGAGGACTGCCTATATTGATGATAACCACACCCTTCTGCTTAAGACTTAAATAATACTGAAAAGTAGATCAAGGAATAAACAGTAGAGGGAGCCTTTCAGTAAACACTCTAAAATAAGATCTCACAATTACGGATTATGTCATTTAATTGCATAAAATAACAGTGATATTAACAGATAGCAAGAAACTATAGACCTGTTTTCCTACGATCATAATCCTGGGTTCCGGGTATATGTAGGACTTACTGATCAGGCCATTCCAAGAAAGTGAATGATCAAACCAGGAATGGCCTGGAGTGGGAGAAGTTAGTTGGAGAAGATCAGATTTTAAATGACGATTGTGGACCTTGTGTGAACTGAAAAATCACATAGCAGAATATTGTTCTATTTTGGAAACCAAGAATAGCACTGGTGTCTTTGCAATTTCCTTGTGATTATACCAGGTCTCTCACTGCTCTTTAAACTGAATCGTGCTATATCCATAAAGTCGAATATTACTCAGCCATAAAAGGGTAAACTACTTATAAATGGAACAAAGTAGATAAATCTTAATATTATAGTGAGTAAAAAGAGCCAAACACAAAACAGTACATGCTGTATGACTTCATTTATATGAAACTGTGTCTATGGTGATAGAAGGCAGATCCACGGTTACCTGGGTCTGGGAATGAGTATAAGGGAACCTTTTGAAAAGATGTAAATGTTCTGTATTTTGACTGGGGTGGGTTACATGGGTGTACATATTTGTCAAAGTCTATCAGCTTGTTCACATAAAATGTATACATTTTATTGCATATAAATTATACCCCAGTCAAGTTGATTTTTAAAATATGAATAGATTGTGCACCTTACAGGACTTGTTACTACTTAAATTATTTCATGTAGTATAGTGACTAAAAGCTATCATCAGTTACGCCTCTAATAAGCTGTTTGACATTGATTTTGACAACCCCTCTTAAACTGTAATCCTCTGATCTGTATAATTGAGATTTTATCAGTATCTACTTCAGAGAGTTGAAAGGATTAAATTTTTAAAATACATATAAAATGCTTAGCACAATACCTGGCACATAGTAGATCCTCAGTATATAGTAGCTGCAAATTATTATTAATGTAACAGTTAATACTATTTCTGTTAGTCATTTCTCCTTTGATTTCTTTTTTTATTATCTTTTTACAGAAAACCCATATAGACAGCTACCCTGTAACTGTCATGGAAGCATGCCTGGAAAGACAGCAATAGAACTTGGACCTCTTTGGTACGTACCTAAGCATAATAACATGTTCAAAATTGATTTATATATTGATTTTTTGATTGCTGATTTTTGTGGCAATAGACAAGCAAATTTAGATTCTTTTTTTTTTTTAAGTTTGGGCAAATTATTATGATTCCTCTCCTCCTATGAACCCGAGGTGTTCAGCTATTTTCAGATTGTTCTCTACTACTGTTCTCCCTAGTTGGTGACAGTGCTAAGAGGCAGTGGGGTGAAAGAGAAGCCTGGCTGATCTACAAACTAGATAATTCATTCTAAATAAGAACGAGGCTTTTTTCAATTGGTAATTACAGAACTAGAGTGTGATTGTAAGATGATCATGGTAACTTTTTATAGAGTTGCCAACAAATACAAAAGGTCTTTGAGGAGTTAGTTTAAGTGAAAAGGGCATGTAAAAGAATCTACCTTTGTTTTAGGTAAAGCTGCTTAGTTAGGACACAGTGGCAAATATTTCATGTTTGTGTGCTTTTGCATCATTAGTAGCAAGTTGCTGTGTTTTTAATGCTTTAAATTTGAATTATTTTTAAACAGAGCCTTACTTTGTAAGCTTGTTTGTTACTAGAGATTTCCAGTAGGAATTTGAGATTCCTAACAACATTGTGACAAGAATCATTGCAAATTTCCACCTTGTTACTTTACCAGGTCAAGGCTTAGCCATATACTAAATCTAAAAACTGACTCAAATGATATCTTTATATTAATATAATATGCATTGTCATGAAGTCCATTCCAACTCATAGCAACCCTATAGGACAGAGTAGAACTGCCCCATGGGATTTCCAAGGAGCGACTGGTGGATTCAAACTGCCAGCCTTTTGGTTAGCAGCCATAGCTCTTAACCACTGAGCCACCAGGGCTCCGATTCTTTATGTCGATGGCTATTATTTTATCTTCAGCACATGTAAATACCCTTATATTAAGAATGGCTTCGCCAAATCAAGAAAGTAAAAAGCCAGCCTACAGAATGGGAGAAAATATTTGGAAACCATATAGCTTATAAGGGCTTAGCATCCAAAATATATAAAGAACGCCTGTAGCTAAACAACAAAATGACAAACAACCCACTTTAAAACCGGGCAAATGACTTGAATAGACAGTTTTCCAAAAATATATACAGATGGCCAGTAAATACATGAGAAGATGTTCAACATCATCAGTCATTAGGGAGATGCAAATCAAAACCACTATGAGATACTACTACACATCGACTAGGATGACTGTTACAAAAAAAATAAAAAATGAGTGTTCATGGATGAATATGTGGAGAAATTGGGACGTTCATGCATTGTTGGTGGAAATGTAAAATGGTGTAGCTGCTGCAGAAAACAGTTTGGTCGTTCTTCAAAAAGTAAAACATAGAATTACCACCTGATCCAGCAGTTCTACTCCTAGGTACATACCCAAAAGAAATGAAAGCAGGGACTCAGATGCTTGCACGTCAGTGTTCACTGCAGCATTATTGCCAGTAGCCAAAAAGGTGGAAACAACTCAAGTGTCCATCAGCAGATGAATTAATAAAAAAAAGTGTATGTTCATACAATGGAATATTACTCAGCCATAAAAGAAGGATGTTCTTTATGTTGGAAGTGCTAGCTAGAGCAGTAAGGCAAGAAAAAGAGATAAAGTTCATTCAAATTGGAAAGGAAGAAGTCATACTATCCCTGTTTGCAGATGATAAGATCCTATACATAGAGAACCCCAAAGATTCCACAAGAAAACTACTGGAACTAATAGATTCAGCAGAGTAGCAGGATACAAGATGAACATACAAAAACCAGTTGGATTCCTATACACCAACGAAGAGAATTTCGAAAAGGAAAACAATACCATTTATAATAGCCCCTAAAAAGATAAAATACTTACAAATAAATCTAACCAGGGACATAAAAGCCCTATACAAAGAAAACTACAAAACACTATTGCAAGAAACCAAAAGAGTATTTACGTAAAAAGAATATGTAGATAAATGAAAAATTATACCATGCTTATGGATAGGAAGACTCAACATTATGAAAATGTCAGTACTACCCAAAGTGATCTAGAGTTACAGTGCAATCTCAATCCACATTCCTACAGCATTCTTTAATGAGATGGAAAAACTAATCACCAACTTTATATGGAAAGGAAAGAGTCCTGGATAAGCAAAGCATTACTGAAGAAAAAGAACAAAGTAGGAGGCCTCACACTACCTCATCTCAGAACCTGCTATACAGCCACAGTAGTCAAAACAGCTTGGTACTGGTACGACAGATACGTAGACTAATGGAACAGAATTGAGAACCCAGAAGTAAATCCATCCACCTGTGGTTAGCTGATCTTTGACAAAGGACCAAAGTCCATTAAATGGAGGCAAAGACAGTCTTTTTAACAAATGGTGCTGACAAAACTGGATGTCCACTTGTAAAAAAATGTCCACTTGTAAAAAAAAAAAGTGAATTAGGGCCATACCTGACACCATACACCAAAGCTGAACTCAAAATGGATCAAAGACCTAAATATAAAACCTAAAATGATAAAGATCATGGAAGAAAAAATAGGGACAATGCTAGGGGCCCTAGTATATGGCATAAATTCAACATAAACCATAAATAACGATTAACAAACACCAGAAGATAAACTGGATAACTGGGAGCTCTAAAAAACACGTATGCTCATCAAAAGACTTCACCAAAAGAGTAAAAAAAGAACCTACAGACTGGAATAAATTTTTGGCTACAACGTGTCTGACTAGGGTCTAATCTCTGAAATCTGCAGAAATCTTCAGTACCTCAATAACAAAAACACAGATAATCCAATTAAAAAATGAGCAAAGGATATAAACAGACACTTCACCAAAGAAGATATTCAGGCAACTAACAGACATGAGGAAATCCTCACAATCATTATCCATTAGAGAAATGCAGATCAAAACTACAATGAGATGCCATCTCAACCCTGACATTACTGGCAGTAATAAAAAAAAAACAGAAGAATGTTGGCAAAGTTGTGGGGAGATTGGAACTCTTACGCACTGCTGGTGGGAATGTAAAATAGTCCAACCAGTATAGAAAATGATACGGCACCTCCTGAAAAAGCTAGAAATAGAAATACCGTACCATCCGGCAGTCCCACTCCTAAGAATATATAAATAAGTGTCGTCACACGAATAGATATATGCACACCCGTGTTCACTGCAGCATTATTCACAATAGCAAAAAGATGGAAACAACCTAAGTGCCCATCAACAGATAAATGGTTAAACAAATTACAGTCCATACACACAATGAAATACTATGCAGCGATAGAGAACAGTGATGAATCCGTGAAACATCTCACAACACAGATGAATCTGGAGGGCATTATGATGCGTGAAATAAGTCAATCACAAAAGGACAAATACTGTATGAAACCACTATTATAAAATCCCAGGAAAAGGTTTACATACAGGAAAAAAAACAATCTTTGATGGTTACATGGGACAGGAAGAGTGGGGAAGGGAAATCACTTACTACAAATGGACAAGTATTAACTTTGGTGAAAGGAAAGACAACACACAGTATAGGGGATGTCAGCACAGCTTGACCAGGGAAAGTCATAGAAGCTTCCTAGACACATTCAAACACGTTGAGGGACCGAGTTACTGGGCCGAGGCTGGGAAACATGGTCTCAGGGACATCTATGTCAGTTGGCATAACATAGGTCATAAAGAGAATGTTCTGCACCCTACTTTGATGAGTAGCACCTGGGGTCTTAAAAGCTTAAAAGCAGCCATCTAAAATACATCTGTTTTTCTCATCACATTCGGAGCAAAGGAGAGTGAAGAAAGCCAAAGACACAAGGGAAATATTAGTCCAAAGGACTAGTGGACCACATGAACCACAGCCTCCACCAGCCTGAACCCAGAACAACTAGATGGTGCCCATCTGTCACTACCGACCATTCTGACAGGGATCACAATAGAGGGTTCTGGACAGAATGGGAGAAAAATGTAGAAGAAAATTAGAAGTCACAAAAAAAGACCAGACTTACTGGTCTGACAGAGACTGGAGGAACCCCTGAGACTACAGCCCCTGGATACCGTGGTAACTCAAAATTGAAGCCAGTCCCAAAGTCCACCTTTCAGCCAAATATTAAACAGGCCTATAAATTAACACCACATGTGAGGAACATGCTTCTTAGTTCAATCAAGTAGACAAGGCCAAATGGGCAACACCTGCCCCAAAGTAACAATGAGACGGTAGGAAGGGATAGGAAACCTGGAGGAATGCATATGGGGGACTCCCCGGATATAAAGGGAAAGGGAGAGTATGCTGGCACATTGCAAGGATTGCAACCAATGTCACCAAACAATTTGTGTATAAGTTTTTGAATGAAAAACTAATTTGCACTGTAAACTTCCACCTAAAACACTATAAAATAAAAAAAAAGAATATTCTGATAAACATGTCACAATATGGATGAACCCTGAAAACATTATGCTTAGTGAAATAAGTCTGACACAGATTGATTAATATTATTTGATCCACTTACATGAAATATCTAGAATAGCTAAGTACATAAAGACCAAAGCAGATTAGTGGTTACTGGGAAAAAGGAAAATGGGAAGTTGTTGCTTACTGGGTACTAAGTTTTTGTTTGGGATGATGAAAAAGTTTTAGAAATAGATAGTGGTGATGGTTGCACAACCTTGTGAATGTACTTAATGTCACTGAATTGTACACTTAAAATGATTAAAACGGCAAATATTATGGTATATATATTTTACCACAATAATTTTTTTTTTAAAACTTGGAGGAAAGTCAGAAAATCAAAAGATGTGAAAAAGGGAAACTGATTCATGAGGGGCAGGCAGGAGATTTTCAAAAATAGGATTTTGCCTGTGCAATTAATAAAAGCCCTGAGAAGAAGAAAACAGGAAGGTGTGTAACAAGCTGGTGTGGCTCCACAGGGAGCCCTCCAATGAAGCAGGAAGTGATGGAAGGAGAGAAGAGAGGAAGGGGGACCAAGGAGCCCTGTAACCCTGAGCAGACTCAGAAGAACAGATTAGCCCTGAAAGTAGAGTTAGAAAGGCTGAGAAATGCTAACAACCCTGACAAGTTCGAGTAGGAGGAAGAAGAGGATGAAGAAAAGGGGAAGGACTTTGTACTGATATTTTTTTTTTACCTCATCATCCAATATGGCTTGTCACAGCACTGTTCGTGTCTTTATTTTAAAAATTGATATTTTGTTCATTATAGATCTTTTACATTGATTTTTATTTTTTTTAAATATTGCATTAAAGTATTTATCTGAAAGAAAAAAAAATGACCTAGCCAGTTTTATCTTCTATGGCTCCCTTACCTGTATCATCTGCTACAAATTGATCCTACTCACTGATCTTGACTGGGGAAATTAAGAATAGCAGGTTACTGGACCCAGAAGGACTACCTAGCCCAACTTCCTCATTTTACAGATGAGAAACTGTGGCACAAAGTTTTTAAGTGCTTGTCAAAACTGGCCAAAAAAATTAGTTAGTGGCACATTCAGAGCCAGAACGGAGGGACTGAGTTCTAAACTGTACCTTATAATTTCCTCACTCAAAGCCATTGTTAATGTCTTTATTCTCATCTAGAATACCTTCCTTCTACCACCCCACCTCCAGTTCAAATTCTGTCTCTTTGAAGTCTCTCCTTCAAACCCAACTCTGAGTTCCCTTTAGTATATCTTACATTGATCTCTCATTGATCACTATATACCACAGTGCTGTATACCTTATGAGGGCTCAGTAATTCTTGTTGGTTTACTATAAATGACATTTTCTTGACAAATCCCACTACCTTAGAGAACTGAGATGATTAAAAAACAATAGTGGGCAAATAGAAAATAAACAATTTTAAATTAAGTCATAAATTCTTTTTGAGTTTCAGTATTTACCTGTACCCTACTTACTTACCTTAGTTGTTAAATTATGGAGACTTTTTTTGTTAAATAAACATTTCCCAAACCCAATTCTCAATATATTTTCTTTTTCAGGTCAAGTTCCCTTTTTAATACTGGATTCCTCAAAAGAATGTTATTTGAATCTCTTCACTATGGTTTAGATGACGTTCAGACCCTAATAAAGACATTAATCTTTGAATCAGAGTGTACGCCTCAAAATCAGTTTTCAGTTCATACATCTTCAAATCTCAGCAAGCAAGGTAAACACTAGATTATAAATTAGTTATCAAAATTACTATTTCCTTTTCATCTTTATTTGATTTTATAATCAAAAACAATATAAATAGTATACTTTAAGTAAATCCCCTGTAATAAGTCTGATCATTTTTTTAAACGTTTTTTGTTTTTTAATTACATAGCTTTCTTCAGGTTTGTACTCAAGAGCCTGAAATAAATAATGAATTTATTAAAGTAATTTTTATTTTTATTTCACAAAATCAAAAACACTGAAAGCCTTTTGTTGTCTTATTACCTTATATCTGCTTTCTAGAAGAAGAAATCTTAGGTAATTCTAAGAATATTGCGGCCATACATTTTGGTAATGTCCACTGAGACATGGAAGATAGATTTGCGTTTATCACTCAGTAAAGTCTTCTTTATTTTCTCCTTAGTAAAAATGGGCTTTTGTAGTCTTATCTGTCTGTTGATCTAAGGGTGGGTCGTTAAATATGCTAGCTTTTCCGTAAGTAGTTTAGAAGTAGCTTTCTTACAAGAAGCTGCTATTATAGATGGTTTAAAAAAGTAATTCTTGCAGCCTGTTTTGGTCATAGAATCTCTTGTATTTTCACAAAATCAGTATGGATGTAATTTCATGAATTTATTTATATTTTGAATTGTTGCTTAATGTCATTTTTATAAAACACTTTGCTATTCCCATTTGTTTTCATTTTAGAAGAATATGGTGTATGTACTAAAACTACAGATGATACCACAACAGATAATTACATTGCACAAGGTATGTATTTCAGTACACACACGCACACTTACATGTATACACGTATGTATTTATCAACACAGAAAGTAGCCGAAGGGTAGAAAGAGAAGAGGTTGCCTTGATAGCCTACTTAAAAATGCATTTTCATCATATTGACAACATGATCATAGTAAAACTTGTTTATCTGACATTCACAAAGTTCAAAATTTCTATTAACATGTACTTTGTTCACATCTGTCAATATGAGGTGATCTCCTGAAAGTACTATAAGATCTTGAAAAGAACCATGTGAACTAAAATGAGATCAGATTATATTTGATAAAGTTAAGTATTAGATTTTTTTCTATCATGAATTCGTATCAAAAGGGTGTGTCAGTGCTATAATATCTAAGGTTTTGTTTTGTTTTGCTTTTGAAGAGAACTTTAGATTCTAGATATGTTTGGATGCAGATAAAAAAAACAAGAATATAGACAATGTCAAGGTTGAGAGAGCAGAGTGTTTGTAATAATAAGCTGTAATTTTGTATTAGTTGCTCAATATTTTAGTGTTAACCTTCAAAGATGAGAAAACTTAAATAAGCTCCTGTTTATAGCATATGGCTTAAATAACTACTGCTTGCTTTTTGCAACAGTCATGTTCATTTGACATCTTTAACAGGTTTGCTAACATTTAGATTGCTTAAATATAATTTATTCTACTTAATTTCTCTGTTAGAAGGAAGAAAAAGAGGCATTATGGCATGCTATAAAGAGTACTCAGTAAGGCATAAATAAGTCTTAAAAGTATTTAAAATCTCTGAGCATTTCTCATATATAAATTAAGGAAAATAGACTAATCTGTATGCGCTCTTCTATAGCTCTAAAATTATATGATTATTGTAAGACTGGTCTATCAGTGCATAAAACTTTCCATGATAAGTGGAAAATACCGGGCAAAAAAAGATCCATGCACTGCTGATAATAGTCACTATTAAGGTATTCTGTTGGATTTTGAGTTTCATACTTTCCTAGAACTTTTACTAAATCTGAGTATATATCCTTTCACTATTCACCTGTTATATATTTCACGTGAGAGTGTAAGTTTTTTCTAATCTAATTTAATGGGGGGGTCTAAAGCTGTAATTTTTTAATGTAAAAAAAGACAATAATTCAGCAATAATTTATATTTATCTTTGAATGAAATTTGTAATTTTCATGCATCAAATTTGCCTTCTATGTGTAAATAACCAAGAGTTGAACGTTTGGGTAAAATCTCATTATGGTAACGTGGGATATCCCAGTTGTTTTCCTTTTGTGGTATTTAGAAGGCTACATGGTAGAAACTTAACTAGCTAGCCTCCTTTCACTTAAAATTGAAAGACTAAGTACTATGCTAAGAAGAAGGAAATAGTATCATACATTGCATCTTTATCAGTTTCTGTGTCCAACCTCTTCAGACATTGGTTTTGTTTTTCTTTATTGTGTGTTAATTGAGGACCTACTGTGTATGCAGTTCACCATCTGTCAGTTTTTCATACTGCGGTGACTTGCGTGTTGCTGTGATACTGGAAGCTTTGCTGCTGGTATTTCAAATACTAGCAGGGTTACCCTTGGTGGACATGTTTCAGCAGAGCTTCCAGACCAAGACAGACTAGGAGGAAGGACCTGGCAGTCTACTTCTGAAAAATTTGGCCAGTAAAAACCTTATGAATAGCAACAGAACATTGTCTGATATAGTGCTGGAAGATGAGCCCCTCAGGTTGGAAGGGCACTCAAAATATGACTGAGGAAGAGCTGCCTTCTCAAAGTAGAGTCGACCATAATGATGTGGATGGAGTCAAGCTTTCGGGATCCTCATTTGCTGATGTGGCACGACTCAAAATGAGAAACAGCTGCAAACATCCATTAATAATCAGAACATGGAATGTACGATGTATGAATCTAGGAAAATTGGAGGTCATCAAAAATGAAATGGAACACATAAAGATCGATATCCTAGGCATTACTGAGTTGAAATGGACTGGTATTGGCCATTTTGAATCAGATAATCATATGGTCTACTATGCCAGGAATGACAAATTGAAAATGAATGGCGTCACATTCATTGTCAAAAAGAACATTTCAAGATCTGTCCTGAAGTAGGATGCTGTTAGTGATAGGATAATATCCATATACCTGCAAAGAAGACCAGTTAATACGACCATTATTCAAATTTACGCACCAACCACTGAAGTCAAAGATGAAGTAATTGAAGATTTTTACCAACTTCTGCACTCTGAAATTGATCAAACATGCAATCAAGATGCACTGATAATTACTGGTGATTGGAATGTGGAAGTTGGAAACAAATAAGAAAGACTGGTAGTTGGAAAATATGGCCTTGGTGATAGAAATGACACCCGCGATCGCATGATAGATTTTGCAAGACCAATGACATCTTCATTGCAAATACCTTTTTTCAGCAACATAAACAGTGACTGTACACATGGACCTCACCAGATAAAATACAGAGGAATCAAATCAACTACATCTTTGGAAAGAGGCAGTGGAAAAGCCAGGGGCCGACTGCGGAACAAACCATCAGTTGCTCATATGCAAGTTCGAGTTGAAACTGAAGAAAATTAGAAAAAGTCCATGAGAGCCAAAGTACAACCTTGAGTGTATCCCACCTGAATTTTGAGACCATCTCAAGAATAGATTTGACACATTGAACGCTAATGACTGAAGACCAAATGAGTTGTGGAATGATATCAAGGACATCATACATGAAGAAAGCAAGAGGTCCTTAAAAAGACAGAAAAAAAGGAAGACCAAAATGAATGTCAGAAGAGACTCTGAAACTTACTCTTGAACATCGAGTAGCTAAAGTGAAAAGAGGAAATGATGAAGTAAAAGAGCTAAACAGAAGATTTCAAAGGGCAGCTCGAGAAGACAAAGTAAAGTATTATAATGAAATGTGCAAAGACCTAGAGATAGAAAACCAAAAGGGAAGAACACGCTCAGCATTTCTCAAACTGAAAGAACCGAAGAAAAAATTCAAGCCTCGCGTTGCGATATTGAAGGATTCTACAGGGAATATATTGAGTAACACAGGAAGCATCAAAAGAAGATGGAAGGAATACACAGAGTCACTGTACGAAAAAGAATTGGTCGACGTTCAGCCATTTCAAGAGGTAGCATATGATCAAGAACTGATGGTACTGAAGGAAGGAGGTCCAAGCTGCACTGAAGACATTGGCAAAAAACAAGGCCCCAGAAATTGACAGAATACCAGTTGAGATGTTTCAGCAAACAGATGCCATGCTGGAGGTGCTCACTTGTCTATGCCAAGAGATTTGGAAGACAGCTACCTGGCCAGCCGACTGGAAAAGATCCATATTTGTACTCATTCCAAAGAAAGGCGATGCAACAGAATGCAGGAATTATCGAACAATATCATTAATGTCACACACAAGTAAAATTTTGTTGAAGATCATTCAAAAGCAGTTGCAACAGTACATTGACAGGGAACTGCCAAAAGTTCAAGCCAGATTCAGAAGAAGAGGCCGTGGAACAAGGGATATCATTGCTGATGTCAGATGGATCTTGGCTGAAAACAGGGAATGCCAAAAAGATGTTTGCCTGTGTTTTACTGACTATGCAGAGGCATTTGTCTTTGTGGATCATAACAAATTTATGGATAACATTGTGAAAAATGGGAATTCCAGAAGACTTAATTGTGCTCATGAGGAACCTGTACATAGACAAAGAGGCAGTTGTTCGAACAGAACAAGGGGATATTGCATGGTTTAAAGTCAGGAAAGATGCGCATCAGGGTTGTATCGTTTCACCATACTTATTCACTCTGTATGCTGAGCAAATAATCGAATAAACTAGACTAGATGTAGAAGAACAGGGCATCAGGATTGGAGGAGGACTCAACCTTGCTTGCTGATATACAGATGACACAACCTTGCTTGCTGAAAGTGAAGAGGAAGCACTTCCTGATGAAGATCAAAGATCACAGCCTTCAGTAGGGATTACACCTGCAACATAAAGAAAACAAAAATCCTCACAGTTGGACCAATAAGCAACATCATGATAAATGGAGACAAAACTGAAGTTCTCAAGGATTTCATTTTACTTGGATTTGCAATCAATGCCCATGAAAGCAGCAATCAGGAAATCGAATGACATATTGCATTGGGCAGATGTGCCGCCAAAGACCTCTTTAATGTGTTGAAAAGCAAATATGTCACTTTAAGGACTAAGGTGCACCTGACCCAAGCCATGGTGTTTTCGATTGCCTCATATGCATATGAAAGCTGGACAATGAATAAGGAAGACCAAAGAAGAATTGATGCCTTTGAATTATGGTGTTGGCGAAGAATATTGAATGATACCATGGTCTGCCAGAAGAATGAACAAATCTGTCTTGGAAGAAGTACAGCCCGAATGCTCATTAGAAGCAAGGATGGCAAGGCTTTGTCTCATGTAGTTTGGACATGTTATCAGGAGGGACCAGTCCCTGGAGAAGGACATCATGTTTGGTCAGTGAAAAAGAGGAAGACCCTTTATGAGATGGATTGACACGGTGGCTGCGACAGTGGGGTCAAACAACGATTGTGAGGATGGCACAGGACCAGGCGGTGTTTCATTCTGTTGTACATAGGGTCGCTATAAGTCGAAACCAACTCGACAGCATCTAATAACACCATGCATGCAATACTGGGTGTTCAGTAGAGTTTGCAGGTATAAAAATGAAGGACATTATCCCCAGGAACTTAGAGTATAATTTGGAGAGAAAGCATTTACACACTACATACATGAAACAAGAAAAGAAAAAAATGACAAAACTTAAGTTCTGAGTAGTGTAGTATTAGTAATAATGACATCTTTGAGGTGATTGTCCCAGAATTCACAATGTCTTCCTGCAGAAAATGGAAATTGAGTTGAGGCTTGAAGAAGGTAGAAAGTTCAGACTCAGAAAACAGTCAAATATTAAAATTTCATGGGTGGAAGATAGTGAAAATATTACGGTGCATGAAGCCTAGAATCTTAAGAATTAAGATTAGATAGATAGGTTGAAATTGTTTGTGTCAAAGGATTTTGACTTGATACAGTATATAGTTGTAAAAATAGTATTTGCTTTATAAATTTGGGGAGAATGCTAAATAACTTCCTGTGTGTATATGTGTGTTTCAGGAAAGAGAAGAAGTAAAGAAATGATCACAAATTTAGCCAAGAGGCAAAAAGCTGATACCACTACTGAACATCCCCCCTTTTATTACAATATCCACAGACACAGCATTAAAGGAATGAATATGCCAAAGTAAGACAGCCAGTGAATGGCAAAGTGTATATTTTATATTTTAATGATGGTGTGATTTAAATACAAATATAAGAACCTTATTTTTTTTTCCTTTCCATGTTGCAGGTTAAAAAAGTTTTTGTGCTGTCTTTCTCAAGCAGGCTTTCGAGTAAGCCGAACTCATTTTGACCCAATGGGTGTTCGTACAGATGCACCTCTGGTGCAATTTAAATCTATTCTTTTAAAGTACAGCACCCCAACCTACACTGGAGGACAGTCAGAGAGCCAAGTCCAATCAGCATCTGAAGATACAGTAGCTGACAGAGTTGAAATCTCAGTGAATGATAAAGCAGAAGCAAGCAGCTGCAGAAGATGGTAAATGTAGAGAGGAGTTTATTCTCAGATGTCTGTGTAGATGGCCTGCTAGTTCTCTATGCCAACTGTAGTTCTTTTTCTATACTTTCAATTCAGTAGTTTAAAAATAAAAACAGTGCTGTTTTCATTCAGCAAATTTGCAGTTTCTAACTTAGCTGGTTTGGGAGCTATGCTTTCCAATTTTTCTTATTTTAAAGAAAACTTTAAAAATTTTAATGAAAACATTTCATATATAAAACCAAGTTTCTGAGTGAGATCACCCTACTGTTTAATAACTCAGAAAATTTTCACATGCAAAGTGTTTGGAATTTTATGTTATAGAAGCCATCTTTTACTATTCTATATCACATCTCTTCTTACGCTGATTTATTATTTTTATGTTTTTCTATTTGTAGTATACAAAATAATGCCAGAAGCCTTTTAAATATTAAAATGACCCTGAGTAGATAATAATATTCTACCAGGTAACTTAATATTTCACAATTACATAGTTAAAATATGTTCCAATTTTAGGAAGTCACACCTCTCTCTACATTGATCTTTTAATTTATTACTTTTTTTTATCACTAGGTTTTGAGAAATTAAATACCTACCTGATAGAAGTAAATTTTTCTTATAAGTTTAAGGTCTAGATAATTAAACTTCAGAGTAAGATTTTGTCAGAGAACGTTGAGACTATTGTTCTAATTGTTAACACTGAAATTCTGAAGAGGACAGACTTTGTAATAAACAGGTTGGGTGATCTCAAATGCCTCACTTAATGCACGTGCAACCTTCATTCGCTTGATTGTGCTACCTCTCAGAAGTAAAAGTTGTCACCTTATGAAGTGAGTTGTTTTTTTGTTTGGTTTTGGTTTTGTATGTGTGCGCACACGTGTTAATTTCTTTTTGTATAAGCAGCCCAGGCTAACATGACTATAAAAATTAGTTGAAAAAAATATTTTGTTTCTATTAATAAACATCATTCTTGCTTCATTTGAATGTATTTTGGATGAAAGGATTTGGTATAAAGTTTAGGTTTTTGCCTTAAGGGTTTAATCCATATTTATACTGAGGTATTTCTTAGAGGAAGCAATTTTTTTACAACCATTAAGCTTGCGAGGGGAGTCCTAGTGGTACAGTGATTAAGAGCTCAGCTGCTAACCAAAAAGGTCAGGAGTTCAAATCCACCAGCCACTCCTTGGAAACCCTATAGAGCAGTTCTGCTCTGTCCTGTAGGGGCGTTATGAGTCGGAATTGACTCGACAGCAGTGGGTTTGGTTTGGAAGTTTGCAGGGAGGGTGGGTGTTATAAATACATTATATTAGAAAAAAGCACTCCTTTGACATCTACAAAAAAGCTAGGGGGGAGGAATGTAGATCAGCATCTCGATTATTACAGCATATTTCCAAGGTGATTTTTTCTTTCTCCAATTAGTGTAATCATACATTTTAATAAAATAAAGGAATAGGTGAAGTGAAAATTAGTTTCTATAATGACCATAAGAAAAACTCCACTCTCTAGTTCTTGTGAGTTAAAATTATAACCCACAAATGAGCACAAAAAGAAATAAAAATTATTAGTTATTATTTCGTTTAGTATAGTTAAAAAGAAAAATTAGTATAAATCCAGAAGTCAAACTGGCACTTGGATCATCTGATTTAGAACATATTCTTAAATTGAATATCAGTCTCAAATTTTGCTAAATTCTTTTCAGCATGACTTATATTGATCAATGATAAAATTGAGTTTTATGCCAGGAGGCTAAATTGAGACAGAAACATGTAACTTACTCTTATTTAAAAAATATGTGCATGTGTATTAATTTCACATATAAAGTCAATATTCCCAAGAAAATTTGGTAGGAAGTAGTTTGGCGCTTTGTGATGTTGTACTGCATCACCCTAAAGGAAGAAATACTTTAAAATGCCATCTAGTTCCACATTAGCAGCCTTGTTGCATAATAATAATAGTAATTTGGGACACTGCAAATGTTGACCATATTGTAATAGTGACATCAGTTGTATCCTCCATTAAAACCAGTTCTTATTCCACAGTCAGGAATCCAGTGTGTTGACTCTGTTGATTGCTTGTTATCACAATAGCCATACACTTAGGAAATGAGAGAAGTAACCAAGGGGTGGGTTTGAGGCTGCCGTGGTGAGATTGGGTCATAACTCCATTAATCACCTGACTTCCATAAGGCTCTGAACAGACTAGTGATGTCCTGGTTCACAGAAATTAGAATTGAAACCAGTTCAGTAGTCCCAAAATGTCTAGGAATTTTTGTCCCCCGTTAACATAATTGCTCTGGTAAATGGTCACAGGTTCCTTTGGGGAAGGCTGAAAGGAAGATACATACTACATACTTGTGTTGTTATGGTAGGGTCATTTTTCAGAGGGTTCTGGGTATTTAAATTGAATCAAGTCTGGGAGTTGGATGTGGGATCATGACTTCAGTAGTAGCTCAAGTCAGGCCTATAGTTTTCACTTATAAAGAACATGGGAACTTCATGCATTTTGGTCTTATGGATCATGTGATCGATCAGTTAGCCACGGCCGAAAATCCTTGTCAGACTATACTGATTACCCTGTGGGTCCTGCTGCCCGTTATAATAACCATGCCCACATTTCTAGTCTAGCAATTAAGTGAACTACTTTGTCTCTGACACAGCAGTCTTGGAAATGCCTATTGAATCAGGGAGGCCATTTCAAATGAAGCGTCTCTCACTGGTATCTGTGGCATGCAGACATCCCATGCAGCTTTCTGGGCACTGGTGCTCTGCTCACCAGTGTATTTCTCAGTGTCTTGTAGAGAGTTGACGGGGCTCTCATGAAGGATATAGTTAGAGGATGGTGAGCAGATCATACATAATTAATCCTCTCCAACATTCTGCCTGCTAAGCCTTTGATTTCCTTTCTCCGCATTACATCATGGAATTTCTAGCATCTCACCTCCAATTTAGATGAGCCACTGGTGAGCCATTTTCCTTCAATCAAGTAAACCAAGAACCACTCCCAGTGGCTCCAGCCCACCCAGTGACTCCTCAAGAGAAAGACCTGGTGATCTGCTTCCATAAAGACTACAGCCAAGAAAATTCTATGGGGCAGTTCTCTATAACATGGAGTCACTATGAGTCGGAATTGACTAGACTGCACCCAACAACAACAAAGCAGAGATTAGTATTAAATGCTATATACAATGAAAGAAAATTGTCAAAGATTTAAAGGAATTCTTTTGAAAGAAATTTAGTATAACTTGAGAATGCTGAAGACAATTTTTCTACAGTTACATTCTGCTAAAATAATCACAGTCAGTTTGACTACTATGACTAATGGATTTATTCCTAATTAAAGAAATTACAAAAGAAAATTATGGTTTCTAGCTTTAAATTTCCAAAAGCACAAGAAACTAAGGGAGAATTTTCTTGGCAGGAACAAAATTAATAGCCATATTTTAAAAGGCTCTAATTTTATGCAGCCTCCATAGGCCTAGAGGATGGAGCTTTCATGGCCCCAGAGGGCAGGGCATCAAGCCACAGAGGATTATTCTGAGGCCTTGAACCTAATGGAATTTGTCCTGCTGGATTTCTGATTTGGTTGGAACCAGTGACTCTTTTATTCCTTCCAATTTCACTGTTTTTGGAATGGGAATGTCTTGTGCCTGTCCCACCACTGTATTTTGGAAGCACATTTCTACTTCACAGGTCCACAGATGGAAATAAATTTTGGATCATACCAACTCTCACCCATAACCAGTTTAGATGATTAGATTGGGGATATTTTGAGTTGATGGTATTTAGGTTATGTATTGGACTTGAAGTTGATGCTAAATAGGTTAAGACTTTTGGAAGTGTTGTTAGCTGCCGTTGAGTCGGTTCTGACCCATAGCGACCTCATGTACAACAGAACGAAACACTGCCTGGTCCTGCACCAGCACCACAATAGTTATGCCTGAGCCCATTGTTGCAGCCACTGTGTCAGTCCGTCTCGCCGAGGGTCTTCCTCTTTTTTGCTGACCTGCTACAAAGCATAGTGTCCTTCTCCAGGGACTGGTCCTTCCTGATAACATGTCCAAAGTATGTGAGATGAAGTCTCGCCATCCTTGCTTCTAATGAGCATTCTGGCCGTACTTCTTCCAAGACAGATTTGTTCGTTCTTCTGGCAGTCCGTGATATAGTCAATATTCTTTGCCAACACTATAATTCAAAGGCCTCAATTCTTCTTTGGTCTTCCTTATTCATTGTCCAGCTTTTGCAATGGAGATACTGGGCTGTGGTAAATGTATTTTACACAAGAGATGATGTCAATTCTAGGGGATCAGAAAGTGGACTGTTAAATTTAAAAAAAAAAAAAAAAATCCAAAAGGCATGTCTACACAAGAACCTCAGAACATGACCTTATTTGGAGTAAGTCTTCGTAGATGGAATTAAGGTACGGAATTTGAGATGAGATTATCCTGGATTAGGATGGGCTGTAAATCTAATGATGAGTGTTATAAGAGGGAAGGACACAACACAGAGATACAGAGGGCAAGGCCATGTGAAGATGAAGGCACATACTGGAGTGATGTGTCCACAAGCTAAGGAATCCGAAGAATTGCCAGCAGTAACCAAAAGGTAGGAGAAAGGCACAGAAGCAATTCTTCTTCAGACCCTCCAGATGGAACAACCCTGCCAACACTGAGTTCAGACTTCTGGCCTCAAAAACTGAGCGTAAATTTCTGTGGTTTTAAGAAACCAAGATTGTGGGAATTTTTAACAGCATTACTAGCAAAGTCATATAGAGGTAAGCATCCAATCTATCACCAAGTAAGTATGATGTTAGCTTGAGATTTTCTGTTGATGCCCTTTATTAGTTTTCTACTATTCCACTTTTGTTGCATTAAACTCTTTGGCCCATTTTTTGATTGGGTTGCCTTTTAATTGTAGGAGTTCTTTATTCTGGATATTAAACCTTTATCAGATATATACGATTTCCAAATGTTTTCTCCCATTCTATAGGTTGTCTTTTCAGTTTCTTGATAAATGTCCAGTTATGCAAAAACATTTTGATTAAGTCCAATTTATTTTTTTTTTGTGTTGCTCCTTTTTGGGTGTCATATCTAAGAATCCATTGCCAAATATAAGGTCCTGAAGATGTACCCCCATTTTCTTCTAAGACTTTGATGGTTTTAGCTCTTATATTTTGGTCACTGATCCATTTTGAATTAACTTGCATATATGGTATAAGGTGTGGTTCCAACTTCATTCTTCTGCACATGGAAATCCAGTTGTCCCAGTGCCATTTGTTGAAGGAGCTATTCTTTCTCCACTGAATGGACTTGGTACACTTACCAAAAATCATCTGGCCATAGAATATGGGTTTATTTCTGGACTTCCAGTTCTATTTCATTGGTCTATACATCAGTCCTTATACCAGTACCACACTGTTTTGATTACTGGAGCTTTGTAGTATGTATTGAAATCAAGAAGTCTGAGTCCTACTTTGTTCATTCTAAAGATTGTTTTGGCTATTCAGGCCCTTTGCAACTGCATATGAATTTAAGGTTGACTTTTCCATTTCTGGAAAAAAAGGGCAGCTGTTTTTGATAGGGATTGCATTGAGTTTGCAGATTGTTTTGGGTAGTACTGCCATTTTAACAGTATTGTCTTCCAATCCATGGGCACAGGATATCTTTCCATTTATTTTTAATTTTTTCAGCAGTTTTATAGTTTCAGAGTACAGATCTTTAATCTCCTTGGTTAAATTTATACCTATTTTCCTTTAGATGCTATGGTAACTGCAATTGTTTTCTCAATTTCCTTTTCAGAGTGTTCATTGCTGGTGTATAGAAACAACTGATTTTTTCTTGCACCCTGCAAGTTCGCTTAATTTATTAGTTCTAGGAGCTTTCATGTGGCATTTTTGATACACAGAATCATGTTATCTGCATGTAGAGATAGCTTTACTTCTTCCTCTCTGATTTGGATGCCTCTTGTTTTTCCTTGCCTAATTGCTCTGGCTAAAACTTCCAGTATAATCCTAAACAGCAGTGGTGAAAGCAGGCATCCTTGTCTTGTTCCTGATCTTAGGGGAAAAGCTTTCAGTCTTTCACCATTAAGTATGATGTTAGCTGTAGGTTTTTTGTAAATGCTTTTTCATCTTGAGGAATTTCCTATTCCTAGTCACCCCCTTTAAAAATTTATTATACACAGCAAAACATACACCAATTCAACACTTCCTACACACAAAAAAAATTCAGTGACATTTATTCTTCAAGTTGTGCAACTATTCTCACCCTGCTTTTCTGAGCTGTGCCTCCCCCATTAACATAAATTCACTGCCCCATAAGGTTCCTAATTTTTCGACCTGCTGTTGTCAATTTGATCCCATACAGTTCTTAAAAGAATGTAACACTCAAGACAGAGATTTTTTACTAGTTAAGCTAAACTATTGTTTGGTTTTAAGACTTCAGGAGTTACTTTTGGTTTAAAGATTTACCTCAGGGCAATAAGTTTTAGGGGTTCATCCAGCCTCCCTGGCTCCAGAAGTCTGGAGTCCATGAGAATTTAAAATTATGTTCTGCATTTTTTCCCTTTTTATCATGATTCTTCTATAGAATCTTTGATCCAAATGGTCAGTAACAGTAGCCGGGCACCATCCAGTTTTTCTGGTCTCATGGCAAAGGAGGGGGTTGTTCATGGAGGAAATTAGCCTGATTCCATATCCTCCTCCTGTTCCTGAGTCTCCTTCCTCTTGTTGCTCCAAGTGAACAGAGGTCAACTGTTGTGCCTCGAAACCATGACCGTAAACCTCCAAAACAAGGAACTACACAGCAGCCTCAGCAGCTTTTTTTCTTTGTTGTAAATATATCACACAATTTTTGCCAATTCATCTTTTTACAAATGTATAACTTATTAACAGCAATTACAATAATTGGCAACCCTACCATTAATGTGATTTTTTCATCACCGTTAACTCCCCCTTCCTCCCTCCCTCACTCCCACCCCCGGTAACCACTAATAAATTTTGGTCTCTATACATCTGCTTTTTCTTGTCTTTTTATGAGATCATTATTTGTCCTTTTGTGATTGACTTCACTTAGCATAATGTCTTCCAGCTGCATCCATATTGTAGCAAGTATCAAGACTTCATTTCTCCTACTGGCTGAGTATTCCATTGAGTTGTACGTACCATATTTTATCTATTCATCTGCTGATTGACATTTAGGTTGTTTCCACCTTCCGGCTATTGTGAATAGTGCTGCAGTGAACACTGGTGTACAAGTCTCTTTTTGAGTTCTCTGCTTTCAAGTCTTTTGGGTATATTATACCTAGGAGTGGAGCTGCTGGGTCACATGGTAGTTCTATTTTTAGTTTTCTGAGGAACCTCACACAATTTCTAACAACAGCTGTACTGTTTTGCATTCCCACCAGCAATGGAAAAGGGGTCCAATTTCCCCACATACTTCCTGACATTTGTTACGTATTTTATTTTTTTTTAATCTTGGGCCATCCTAATAGGAGTGAAATACCTCATTGTGGTTTTGATTTGCAGCTCTCTGACAGCTAATGACATTGAAGCCTCTTTTTTATGCGTTTGGTGGCCATTTGAATGTCCTCTTTTGTGAAATGTCTACTCAAGTCCTTTGTCTATTTTATGATAGGGCTGTCTTGTTGTTGTTGAAGTTTCTATTCCTAGTTTGATGAGCATTTTTATTACAAAAGGGAGTTTTTTTTAATTTCAATTGAGATGATAATGTTTCTTTTTCTTTGTTCTATTAATGTGATGTAAGACATTGATTTTCTTATATCAAACCACCCTTGCATTCCTGGGATAAATCCCACTAGGTCATGTTATATAATCCTTTTAATATGCTTTTGGTTTCAGTTTGCTAGTATTTTGTTGAGGATTTTTGCATCTACATTGATAAGGGATACTGGTCTGTAATTCTGTTTGCTTGTGGTGTCTTTAACTGGCTTTGGCTTCAGGGTAATGCTGGCCTCAGTGAGGAAGTTAGCTAGTATTCCCTTCTCTAGTGGGAATGCAGTGGGTATTTAAAAAGAGATGCCTTTTTCCGTTTGGCATTTTAATTATTTTGGGTTTAGTTATTAAAGTCACAACTCTGAGCCTCAAGTGTACAAGTGAACTACTGCCTTTTTCAAAGACCTGTTGAGAGGATTAAAAATGATAATGTATCCAAAGGTCTGCTATCACAATGTCTCACACCATGTTTAGTAAGCCTTTTTTGCTCCTAGGTTGAAATGGTGGTTAGAGAAGTTACCTTAGATAATACTTTATGAACAGTTAAAACGATAATGCTTTATGAACAGTTAAAACTGTTGAGTGGTAGTGATGGTGAACGGTCCTCCTCCCCTCCCCCTCCAAAAACCACACACACACAGAATTCACTCAATGCTCTATCAAATACCTATAATTATATTCTGCAAAGGATTACATATCCAGTGAACTCGCTAATGATACAAAGAGTTTTCATCCTCCCATACTGACAGATAAGCACACATACATTCTCTAAGCACAAAGCTTATACTCACAAATAATTTTTTTGCTTGAAGACAAAACTTCAATTAATAATCACAATGGGAATTTAGTTATTTAATGCAACCACCAGTCTAATATGTTGCCAATAAAATCTAAGCAGTTATATCACAAAACGAGGATTATATTCAGTGGACATGCATTAATAATCTATACAACATTACACCAAAAAAAGGAATTGAATACAAAATTTCCAATAATTTTTGGTGATTTTGAAATTTCATGGCACAATTACCAAAAAAACTGTAAAAAAAGATTTTAAATATCTTCAATAAAATGGTAAAAAATTGAGTAAGTCTTTGAAGTTTTCATACTGGGCTTAAGATTTAAAACATCAAGCTGGCCCCAATTTGTCAAAATTGACAGATAAATATTTACAATGACTAGACAGGCTTTAGTTACAATGGTATTGGAGGACTACTCCCTCCTATGAAAAACCCTTTGGGGGTTAATTTCTCAATGCAAACATGTCTTTGTAAATACTGTGATAATACAAACTTGGAAACATACCGCAAATCAGGACAGGGACGAAAAATAATACACAAGTCAATCTTATTTCTGACCTGTCAACATAAAGACTTCTGGTTCCCAACCACCTAACACTGTCCCCCAGTATAAAAGTAAATCAACCGGAGGACAATGACATTACTAGGTGGCATTCTTCTACAACATTATTTTTCACTACATACCAAGGCAGGGCTCAAGCTGTTAACCTCCTTCTGTAGCATGTAATTAGTAGAGCACCAAATATATAAACTGACATAGCAACCCAAAATGTTAAACACATTTTTCAAACAGAAGCAAACTTTTTTTTTCCATTGTTAGTTCTATGTGCCATGTTATTCTTCAAACTTTATGTGGCTATCAATAAGGGAAGAATTAGGGAAGCGTTGAACATATCTTGTACTTTTCATCAGGCTAAAGTGCAAAATATCTCCACATCTCTCTAGTATTTCAAGAAGCAAAAATACCAAACACGCATAATAAATTGAAGTGACAACAGAACTAATACCAAAAAAAAAAAAAGACCTCTTTAAATATACATTTGAAGACTACATACGACCAATTTAATTCTCCTTTCTTCAGTGAAATCTGTATATGAATCAAGTTCTCATAGAACCTGAGATTTTGTTTGATTCTTTTCCCCAGGATCAGAAATTCCAAAATTATTACAAGAAAAAATGGAAAAAAAAATAACATTGCATGACAATGGACACTAAGTTCATAAAGAACCTCTTTTTAAAATGAGATATTATGGAAGAAAATACCATGAAAATAATAATCCTATGAGAATTGTTTTTTAAGCACAGTAAATTTGAGTCTTGGTCTTCATGAAGATACTATAGTTTATATAGAAAACTATAAATATACAAGACTGGGGAGCGAAAAATGTCAGAATACATATTATTTAACATTCTGCAGACCTAAAAAACTTTGGGGCAGAGGGAGAAGGATGGCCAACTGAATTTTCACTTCAGAATACAGAACTATGAAAAATTCCTGGGTCAAAAGAGTCCTTGAAATGGAACCACACTTTGTGAAATGAACCACACAACTTAGATTTTTTTAAAGGAAAGAAAAAGTACTGAATAATTGCAGTCCCTTTCAAAAAGGCAATCTTAAATTAAGGGGGAAAGATTCTAATAGTGTAACCTAGTCTGGCTCAGAAAGAAAACTGAACAGCATATCCAAGATTCTGTCTATAAAAGTAAAGACGGTACATCTTTAATATTAAAGAACTAGGCTATTAAAAAGTTCATTCTCTGAATTGTTTTTAGTAAAAGCTCATTTGTGCTCTTTTGTGGGTGCATAATAAAGTTCCATGGGTTTGTTCACTTTCCAGTATTTCTCACTGACCAATTCCAAAGAAAAAGAGCCATTTAATACCTAAAACAAAAAAGAGAATTATGAAAAGTCACAAAGTACAATAGTAAGATGGAAACAAAAATAAGTCAACAAAATCTTTTTTTTTAATTAAATACCTTAGGATAAATATTTACACTATTCCTAAAAGAACAAAGTATCATAGAGTTAACTACCCTGCTGCAACTTTTCCTTCTTTGAGGATGATGTCAGGGCTGTGTGCACAGTCTTGTTAGACCCCCACCACACCCGACATCCCACCACCGCTTTGCACAGTCTCAGATGGTCAGTGTGCTCCCAGTTTCAACAGTCTATGATTCTGTACACTTACAGTGAACTGGCCACTGGCTGTTGCTATGTAGATGGTATACTGCTTCTCACTAGCTGTATCAAGGTTCATCTGGTTTGATTCTCCTTTGCTTCGAAGTTCTTCTAAAGCTAGCCTCACAGCCAGATACTTGGATAAATGATCAACAGTAGCGTTACCTGAAGTCTTTATGTATCTACAAAAATAAGTCATTAAAAAAATTAATTTCTAGACTATATTACTGATCAAAATTTGTATTAATACAACTAAAACATTTTTAAAAAGTAAAATGTAAATGTCTAAATTATTTATATTAAAAACATATTTCTCTATTATCTAAACATTTCCTACTGAAAAATGCAAAAGAGAGGAAAGTAAACACTCATTATCTGACTGCCAGGAAACAAAAGCTTTCCTCACTTTACCATGATTAAAATATGAAGATGACAAAAATCAAACAGAAATACACAAAATACTGAGGGCAACAGCATACCCTTCAACCCCAATGATCAGAATTCTGCTATGTCTGCAGCAGCAAGAGGAATAGTAAGAGTATGAAATTTCCTATAGTCTAAGAATTAATCAAATATCCAATTTTTAAATGACTAAGCATAGAAGTGCTAATCTTGGGTTTTTTTTTTTTTTCCTTTTTTAAGTATGATACACCATTCAATGACTCACTCAACAAATATTTGATGTTTATCTGCACTCAATGGCAGACAATGTACTAGAGATACAGTGATAAAACAGCCATCCTTCCATTACAAATTACAGAGTCTAATGACACCCTAGTATCATTTATAAGGAATTTAAATGATCCTCTTCCTCCTCTACCTGGGAGGGTCATTTCTTTCAGATGTGCAACATTAGGTGGGAAGCACATAAGGGAGGAAGAAAAGGACAATCTAGGCAGTTGGAATATGCCAATAACCCTGGCAATCACTACAATGACAAACACTACACTGCCTTTACTTCTTTGTCAAAAATTCCTTTTAACTCCAAATTGGGGACATTCAGAATTCAGATAATCAGAAACTAATTGCACTTACCTTGTCTGTGCACTGTCATCTTTTTCCATAAGTGTGGGATGAGGCCTGAATACTAACTCAATTTCACTAGCACCATCCATGACTGGATCAATTGCCACTGTGGCATTGTTATTATCAAGCTCAAGCCCAGAATCATCAGATGTTTTGGTCCGTTTGTTACTAGGTCCTGCTTCCTGATTGCTATGTGTGGATGCATTACTACAGTGTGAACTGTCACCATTATCTTCTGCTCCACTACCATTTTCAATCTGTTGTTTCTTGCCTCGCTGTAGTCTAGTTAAGGAAAGAGAAAAAGTTACATTAAGATTTACATTTAGGCATTTTCACAGTAATCAATTTTGAAGCACTGAACTACTGAAGTTTAGAATTCAAAATCTTGATAACTGAATTTGCTCCAAACTAGATACCTGAAAGTCTAGAAACACATACATGTGCACACAAAACATTAGAAATGATTAAAACAAATTGTTTATATTTCCTTAATAATTTTCTCTGTTAAACAAAGGAAAGACTACAGGACTTTCTGCCAAATATTTTTTTTTTATTTTGATAATTTTCTTCCTTATGAGATTAATAAACCTAAAGAAAGGCATGATTTAGTTATGAAAATTTAAAAGATATGAGGAACGATGTTTATGCCTCACTTATCAGAAATTCTTAAGGAAACAAGACTTAAGAGGGATGGTAAGCACTAACTGCCCGCCCCCTCCCAAAATCTGCTAATGTAATTCGAGATGACTCTAATGAGGAAAATGAGATGTTATCTAAATAACCAGCATGGATACAGCTAACAAGCTCAGATACTAAAATCAATTACTGGGCAAGGCATTTTAAGTATATAATCTCATTTGCTCTTTAAACCAACCCTGCAATGCAGTGAGTTTCTAGTTGAGAAAACCAAAGAAACTGAAGTTCAAGGTTAAGTAATTTGCCCACAGTTACACCACTAGTAAGCATCAGAGTTAGAGGTAGGATGGGATACACGAGGCCAAATTCCTTCCAACCACATTCCCTGACTCTCTACCTGTAAATACAAGAAAAAGGAGGGATATATGATGAAAAAGAAATGTAAAAGAATGGCACGTACATCTAAGAATCACATCATTATTAAATGTCTGTTGACAGAACAAGGAAATAATATCCCACTGCTTAGGAAAGATGCTCAAGAATTCTTTTGCCTTTTTTTAAAAATAAAATGAAATCTATAGATCATTCTAAAACTAAGAGGGTATGGTAAGACTAATATATTAAATGATAAAACTATGATTCAAAAAGACATGAACAGGCCAAAATGGTAGAACAAAAACATAAACTCAACAGTGAATGTAAGAACTATACATAAATATTTCCTAAAATCTACAACAAAAGCAAAAGAAAAGTTGTTTTAGTTGGCAGTAAATTAAAGTGAGCCAAAAATGTTACTCAGACTTATCGTATTTATTTTTATCCCACACCTCTTTCTAAAAAGGGTTTGAGGTGACAGAACTATATTAATGCAATTCCAGGCAGCATTTTAGAAGAATATTGTTCAGATAAAGAAGATCAATAGCCTATTATGTCTTGCATTTATCAAATCACATCCATAAAACTACATTTTCTGTTCTTCGTTTGGGCTGCATTTCAAGAGTGACAACAACAAATCTGAATGTCATAGTACAAGGAACAATAAAATAAATTAGAAATGTGAATATTTAGCCCTTAGTCCTGCAAGTCATCATTAAGGTCTTTTGGCTTTTACCCTAAATGTGAATAGAAACTTTTAGAGGGTTCTGAGGAAAGGAGAGACATGACCTAACTTTCAATTCAACAGAATCACTCTGGCTGCTGTGCTGAGGAGAGACTGTGTAGGAGTAAGCATGGGAAGTATAAAGACCAATTAGGAGGCTATTTCAATACTTCAAATGAAAGATGTGATGCCTTGGACTAGGTGGTAGGAGATGAGGTGGTGAGAAGTGGTCACAATCTGGATATATTATGCAGAGAGCTAAAAATACTTATTCACAGATTGGAATACAGGGTGTGAGAAAAAAGAAAGATTAAAGATGACTCTGGAGTTGCCATTAACTGTGAAAGGAGGAAGCATGAGGAGACAGGTGGGGGGTCAAAATCAAAAGTTGGGGATGGGACGTGTTAAGTTTGAGATGCCTGTTAGATATCCAAGAGGAAGAGAGTCTGGAGTTCAAAGATGTCCAAGCTGAATATATTAATTTGAAGTCATCAGCATATAAGTGGTAATTAAAGCAATGAAACTGGATGAGATCACCTGGAGAGAGAATTTGTACAGAAAAGAGAAACAGCCTGATCCCTGGGGTACTCCACCTTTGAGTCGGGGAATTGAAATGAAACTTGCAAAAGAGACTAAGAAACAGCTCATGACATACAAAGGGAATCAAGAGAATATGGTCACCTGAAAGCCAGTTGAAAAATACTTTTCAGAGGAAGGCAAATTAATTGTGTCAAGTGCTGGTAAGTAAACTGTGGTACTGAGAATTAGCCATTAGATTTCACAATGTGGAAATATAATTTTAATAAGGGCAATTTGGTGGGGTTGTGAGGATAAAAGCCTAACTGGAGTGGATTTGAAAAAGAATGGGAGAAGAACTGAAAGAGTGACTACAGACAACTCTTTCAAGGAGTTTTGCTATAAACAGAAGAGGGGAAATAGAGTGGTAAGTAGAGGGGAAAGTCGGGTCAAAAGAAGGTTTTTTTTAAGATTCTAGCATTTTAAATGAAATATTCTATTATGCCTAGAGGCACATATTATTACCTGCATAAAAAAGGTAACCATGCAGAACTAATGTTTGTTACTGCATTTCACCTTTTTTAAAATGGAGAGTGTACAGTATTCATAAAAATAGATGTTCTCTTTGGCCCTCTTTCATACATACCTGTTCATGGCCTGTATCTTCAGTCCTTCCTCAATGCTGTGACTGAGTGCTTGCTGATTGTTGTGCTTGTTGATCCTGGCTAATACTCTCTCTTGGTGAGCTTCATACTCATCACGACTTGGATAAATTTTGCTGATGAGGGCATCAAAGTTTGGGTCTGGCCTTAGTGATCTTTTAGAAACTAGCTTTTTCCGACAGGTAGGACATTCTTTATTGCTAAATAAAAAGAAGGGAAAGAAAATGTAAACAATGCCAGTATCTTTGGGGTAACGACAAATACCCAGTTTCTAGAAAGTTATCATCTTTATTCTAATGCTGTCACTAAGTCACAGAAATTCAAACTGATTAGCCTGAATGTCTTTGAAAATCTGACTACTGGGTAAACAGACACTCTTAACACAACTTGCCCAGTGAAAAAATTTTGAATACTTCCCAATGATAATTTATAAATAACCATTTTAGAAATAAAAATCTATTCCTTCCTAATTTAAATTTCCCCTTTTTGATATCCATGCCATACAAACAAGAAAACACTATCCATTACTATGTATTAATGTATGTTATTGTTTTTGTGAAATAGCTAATTCATAAGGACATTATTTTATATACTTAAGTAAAAAACCACAGTTTCATGCCCTGTAATTTCCTCAAAACAAATTCTCATCCTATTAAGCTTCTAAAATTGTCTAAAAATCAACCATTTCAAAACAAAGATTCTCAAATGATTAAAATCTAAACTCTAGAAAAGTTTCCAGTTCTTAATCATACACTTATAGAGAATATATTTCTCAAACCCCATGCAGCCCTATCCTGGTAAGTACCTAGCACAACTCATTTCAACATACCCACTTCTGAGGGCTGTGATAATGCAGTCTGCACAAAAACGATGTAAACACTCCTTTGTAGTCATGGTGTTCTTCAACATATCCAAACAAATTGGGCACATCAGTTCACTGTGCAGGCTTCGAGGTGAAACCACGATTTCCAAACCATCCGTTATTGCCTCCTATGGAAGGGTCACTTTAAAATTAACTGCAACTTAATTTTTTTTAAAATTATGGACAAATTCAAACATACAAAAGTTTGAATGGTAAAATGAACTCCCACGTATACCCAACACCCAGCCACTACCACTGTCAACTAACAGCCAATTTTGCTGTAGCTCTAAATTTCCTCCAATTCCCCTCAGCACCACCACTAGACTGATTATGTAAATGCTGTATAATATGTAAAAAAAATATACTGAATCTGAAATCAGATGCCTAACGTTCTAGTTCTAGCCATACTAACTAGCTGTGTGGCTCTAAATAATTATTTAACACTGCTTTCTTACCTGGAAAATTAGGTAGTTAGGGCTAAATACCAACCACAGTACTAGCTACTAGTTGCCGTCAAGTCGATTTCAACTTATGGCAACCCCCTGTGTGTCAGAGTAGAACTGTGCTCCACAGGGTTTTTAATGGCTGATTTTTTCAGAAGTAGACCTTTCTTCCAAAGTGCCTCTGGCTGGACTCAAACTGCCAACCTTCAGGTTAGAAGCTGAGCAGAGTTATAAATCTATACCTCCCAGTGAGTGACTCCTTAGGGCTAAATGAATCCTAAGAATTCTTCTATCTTCAAAAATTACCCCACTTTGATCATAAATTATGTGTTTCATGCTGTCCATCAAAAGATTTAAAGATTTTAGTACAACTATTCTCGAATTTATAAACAGTTAAATAGGATTTCAGCTTAAAATCACTTTTTGAACCTTAAAATTTGGTCCACAGACGCAACTTCACAGGAAGTGGTCAGTTTCTCAGGCTAACCAAGGCTTCAGACTGGTTCATTCTGGGTCGAACCCCTGCTGAGAATTTGCATTTCCACCCCAAATATAATGACTCAGAATCTACATTTTAACAAGATCCCCAGGTGATTCCTAAATAGATTTCAAAAACCACTGCTCTGCTAGTTGTTCTCAGAACTGATGCCTAACCAGCAGCATTAGCATCGCCTGGGAACTTGTTAGAAATGCAAATTCTCAGCAAGGGTCTGAAGCAGAAGGAACTGGTACGATGCCCTCAGGCTAACCCACAAACTAAACCATAATATAGGTGAAATAAAACATGTATTAACATATTGTTGCTGTGGTTAGCTGCCATAGATTTGGCCTCCCACTCATGCAGATCCCATGCACAACAGAGTGGAACGCTGCCTGATTCTTGCTTCGTCCCATGACGGGTTGCAGATTGGGCCTTTGTGATCCATAGGGTTTTCACTGGCTGAGTTTTCAGAAGTAGATTGCCAGGCCTTTCTTCTGAGTCTGGCTCAGTCTGAAAGCCCTGCTGAAACCTGTTCAGCACCACAGCAACACACAAACCTCCAGAGAGACAGCTGGTGGTAGCATATGAGGTGCACTGTCCAGGAACTGAATCCAGGTCTCCCACATGGAAGGCGAGAATCCTACCACTGAATCATCAGTGCCCCCCTACATTAGCATACCAGTGTATCTAATTGCCCTATGTAAAACAATGTTTATATGGGAAAATGCATTTAAATTTCCAATGTAGAATTCCAGGACACATCTCTTCTGGTACAGAGAGATAAGTGACTCCTACTTTATTCACCACCATCACTACCCACCCTGCCCACAAGCTGGCTTTGAGAAAAAGATTACATAGGCTCTAAAGTCACCAATACCAGCTCCCATGGATTGAGAAACAGATTTAGTAGAGTGAGCTTCCAATATGCTACTGACATTTGTTTCCACTGGCTCTCCATCATACTTGGGTCAAAGATTGATGACCGCACAGGGAAAAGACATAGCAACTATAAATACTGTCTATAAAGGACTCAAGTAAAACACATTTACAATACTAATTACTACTATTATGGAGTGCCTATTATGTTCAACTGGTGGCACAGTGTGCAAGTGATAACGGCTGCTAACTAAGAGAGCAGCAGTTTGAATCCATCAGCTGCTCCCTGGAAACCCTATGGGGCAGTTCTATAGGGTCCTATAGGGTCGCTACGGGTCAAAATCAACTCGACGACAATGGGTTTTTTTTATTATGTTCAACCTCTCTATATAAAGCACCTTCTACATTTTATTTTAGCTTCTTACACAAACTTTTGAATTTAGGAATTATAATCTCCATTCTTTAAGATGAGGAAAGTATCACGCAGAAAGTATGACAATGACCCAGCTAGTAATCAAGTCCATCTTCTCCCTCTTTAGAACATGCCTAGCAAAATTATGACCCTGGATAAATTCAACCATCCCCAATCTCCAGTTCAGTACCTATACAGGTGTATAGCACTGTTGGGGGCGGGGGAGAAATCACACAATCAATTAGTATCACTAAAGGTTTCACTAGCTTCAAATAGGTACTCAACACTGCTCAGCAAATGGTTTCTTTAACTCACTTTTCCTTTCTCTACGCTATTTTATGCCTTTTCTTCTATCTGCAGGCCTTCCTCCACTTGAACTTTCAATATATTACTCATATTTCATTATTAATAAATTATAAAATTCATCAATTATTAATAAATTATTCTACTTTCTACCAAGGTACTAATGGTATTCTCTCTTGTTACACACAGAAACTGTCCGTCTTCCTATCAATGTGCAATCTCCCCACTTGTGCTCTTTCCCTCATACCTTCTTAAGGACATCCCTCTTTTGATGATTATATTTGCCCTGAGGCATCATCAATTTCTCCCTCTCCACTAAATAAGCCTAGCAGATCAGTATCTCAATAGTGCTGCTAGAGCTGTGCAACGTTGGGGGGAAGGGGTGAGCGCACTCTATGTCCCATCTAATAAACAAAACATTGAAAATAAAAACTTCTCTTGATTCTGTGTTCCCCTCTACTTTTTGCTCCATTCTCTGCTCCCCTGCAAGCCAAACTTCTCTGAAGAATTTCCTATACATCTCCTTTTACTTTTTCCTCCTTACTGGACTGCGTGTACACGAATATCACCCTTGGTTCACGCACGGAGCAATAAGGAGAATGCATCATGATTCCATTCAATCTTCAACCTAATACAACTTCCTCTTAGATTCTGGGCCCCATTTCCCCAATCTCCCATTTTTAATTCCTCTTCCCTAGTTGCTCCTTCTTTGTTGGCTCTTTGTCCATTCCCTAACTTCTAAATGATAAGGCTCCTCTGGACAAAGTTCTGAGCCCTCTGTTCATCTCCTCTAGGTGATTTTATTCATTCCCATTGCTTAAAATAGGCTGACAATTCCTAAAATTTTCTATTTAGTCCAGACCACTAATTAGCATCTCCACCTGCATGTCTTACAAGTATCTCAAACTTAACATGAGTTCAGTTTTAAGCATACTAATCTCTCTTAAACCTACTTCCCTCTCCCAGTTTTTCCCATCTTCACCTTCTCAAGAGTCTTCCCTAATTAGCCTGTGTTATTCTTTATTACAGCACTGAGGACTTTCCTTTTATGTAACTTCTCGCATATGGGTATTTGTTTAATGTCTATAAACAACACGGGTAGGTGCCATATCTGTTTTATTCACCACTGTTCACCTAGTACCTAGCATAAAACCTGGTAGAGAATATGCACTCAAATTATTTGCTGACTGAATGAATGAAGATCCTGACCCAAGACAAGTATGTTACAGCCAGTTAAACACAGTCAGGACTGCTTGTGTGTAAATTATTACTGTTATATTCTATTTCAAGTTTTCATGTTCTAAAAATGTATCCCAGTTTACATGTCTCATATTCTCCTTAAATTGTCTTAGTCTACATTACCTGAGGTGTTCGTTGTAATTCATACAAACTAAGTTCCCATGTTTTGCTTAACGGTTGAGTTCCATTCGCCTGCACAGCCTGAGACATTGCTAGGAATAAAAAGCAGAGAAAAACAATTTCAGTATTTGAAAGGGCAATAAACCTCAAAACTGATTTTTTTAGAATTTGCAAATTTGAGGGTAATAAAAATAGAAATCACACACTGGTTTCTCAAAAATAAAAAAAAAGCTCAAGAATCTTGCCATTTGCAAATATGCATTAGAGCAAATATACTTCAGAGCAAGAGACTACCACTGATCTCTGAATGCTCACCAACTGGCACATGGAAAGTACTTAATATTATTGAAAGTGCTCAATTATCACTGAATATATAGAAGATTGTCTTAACACAAAACAAAAGAATGTTTATCTGCGGTCATGGAACTTACAACAAAATCTCAGGAAAATTTCACTCTTCAGCATGGCCATCTAGTCCTTTTCGCCTGAGATACAAAATCTACTTTATAGTACTTTACACCACTGGTCATTCTGCTTCTACTTTTGCAGCTCCACTCATGAAAAATTCCCTACCTAATGAGTCTGCTCTAATTCTCAGGAAGTTCTTCCTAATGCTAAGCCCCACACTGCTACCTATTAACCCTATAGATGCCTTCTGGAGGCAAACTGATTAAGTCCTAATAATTTTTCTACAAGATAGCCTTTCAAATATCTGCAGACTTACGATATCCCACTTGATATTTCTTTCCTTGTCGCCAAATATGCTAGTTCCTTGTAATGCTCCCCATTATAAACAAAATCTCTTCACCACCCTGACTCCACTCTTCTCTCTAAATGCCAATCTGTCAGCAACAAAGCAGCACAGGGCTATTCGTTTTCTTGTTCTAGACATCGGGTCAGCCTAACACCACGTAAGCTTTTTATTAAGTTCAAACACACTGTAGACTAGTTTGCAGTCAATTAAAATTCCTAAGTTTTTTTCTCATTATTTCTACTGTTATTTCTCAACATTCCAGCCTGGCATGGCTTCTGTCTGTTTCAGTTCCTAAATTCAGGGTTTTACATTTATTTCCCTTAAAATTCACTTGACTCATCTAATCCACTGTTACATCATCCTACTAGGATTTTATTGTTGTAAAAATACATATAACGTACCACTTGCTATCAGGATTTCCATAAATCCTGATTCTGTCACCTACTATCTTCAAGGTTGGCCACAGAAGAACATTCCCTTGTCTCTTCTGAAAACCATATTCCTCATCTCTCAATTAACAAAATGAAGTTGTCAGTTGCCATCAACTCAATTCTGACTCACGGTGAGTGCCAGTATATTCTAAAAAATATTAATTTCCCTTACTACTTCCATGAGTCAAACAGAACATGTTAAATTCATAAATTAAATTTTCTCTTCACCAAAAACTCTTATTTTTAAACTGGCCATCTTCAGCCATTTCTTTAAAAAGATTAAGGTAGAAAACTCTTATATAAGTAAATAAATTAGTAATATTCAGACAGGCAGACATAATTTTTAGGTATGTCATTTAAGTAATAACAACCTTAAACGAGCAAATGACTGAAATCTCTCACTTTTTACAGAGAATACATTTATTTAAAAAAACATCATTTATGCCTGTTGTTAGTCGCCCTTGAGTAGTTTCCGACTTACGGCGATCCATGCGTGCAGAGTACAACCGCTCCATGGGAAGCAGATCACCACGGTCTTCTCTCCCATGGAGTGGCTGGTGGGTTCAAACCGCTGCCCTTTCGCCCACCAGGTCTCCTTCATTTGTATCTAACCCAGACCAAAACCAAATCCGTTGCCGTCAAGTCAATTCCGACTCATAGCAACCCTATAGGTCAGAGCAGAACTGCCCCATAGGGTTTCCAAGGAGCGGCTGGTGGATTCAAACTACCAACCTTTTGATGAGCAGCCAAACACTTAACCACTGCACCACGTCATTTATGTCTACCAACTGTTAAATTATTTTTCTAATATACAACAAAATAGCCACTTCGAAACAGTCAGCATTTTCCATACCAAAATAAAAGTTTTTTATTCCAATATTAAGACTGGAAAGAAAGGAAACACTTTGCCCTAGTTGCTTCAATTACAAAAGACCAAGTAGGTCATTAGGAGACAATGAATAATTCAAGACAAAAAAGAAATTTAACTGTTTGCATATATTTACCTACAAGGGAAAGAAACTTTAATGACCATGCTAATTTAATTTGCTCAAACCTAATGCTTCAATAACAAAACACATGATCTTTCAAAGAAAAGTTACGACACTTAAGAATAATTTCTATGTACCACTAAGAATAATTTCTATGTACCAAAATTTACCATTTTCAATACATTAAAAGAAACCATCGTATCAATAAGAAAGTAAATGAACTCTAAGAGCTGAAGATAATGTAAAAACATTATTGTATTTATTACAGCCTGTTACACAACATAATCTGCTTAATGGAATGTTTTAACAAAATCTCAGTGCCACTAACAAACATTACCTTGTTGAAACCCCAATTTTACTGAATGGAGTTTTAGTACTTATTTTTAAAATACTTGTAAGGCTGAAAAAGCAACCATAATGGTCCCCCACCATTATGTATATACAAGATGTTGTAAAAAAATAAATAAACTCATAACCCAAAAAAGAATTGATCCCATGTTTTTCCTCTCTGAAATCATAATTTCACGTAAATCATAAAAGGCTGTCACAGTAAAAAAATATTTTCAAGATAAGGTATCTGGCACCCTGTCACTACAAATATCCCTAAAATATTACTTCCATAGTGTTATTCTCGTTAGATACTCTTAGCTCCTCAAAAATGTATTTAGAGAAATATAATCATCTAAAGACCTTTCATAATTGGTCCCTAGTTACTTTCCCACTGTATTTTCTTGTACCCACTGCTTAAACCATTGAATGACTTTCACTTCTCTCAAACATGCCATAAAGTTTCACAACCCCACATCATATAAACTGAATTGGCCTCCCTTGCCAACCTCCTCACTCACTCACATGAATCCTACAAAAATTGTTTAGTGATCTCTTACTTGGAGAAGCAGCCCCTCTGTTAGCAGCTCCATTCTTAGTGCTCCCATAACACCTTATACCCACTCCTCTACCACAGCACTTGTTCTCAGTGAAAGCATGATTTGTTTACCTATCTGTGGTCCACTCCCACTAGACTATGTGCATGAAACTGTGAGCCCAGCCCTAGCACCCAGCATGCTTGTCATACTGTCATACATATGCTCAATACCTGCAGAGGGAATATTGTGGAGAGAATATTCTCCCTTGTAGGCACAGCATAAACCCCACCATTTACTTATAGCTGTCCCCTAATCTTCCAAAGCTTAATATATCTTTTCTTCCTCTAAATTCCTGTATTAATAATTTGGCAGTTAAACAGCTAACACATCTTGTATTTAAGTTCTTTATTATTAACATTTCACATCATGTCACAGGATTCCTAATGTAATTCCTGGCAATTTCAACTTCCCACATAGATGACTCTTCCGTTATCTCTAATATATCATCCTCCACCCAGTCTCAGCCACTCAATCCCATATGATTATATACCCTAGACCCTAGATGGTGTGTTAGTACTGTATCCCATTCATAATCTTAATTTCAAGTATCCTTTCTGGCCATCTCTTATCTTTTCCATTAATCCTACCACCTTTTCACTGTCCACTTCTCTCACATTCTCACCTCCTACTTTGTGCCAGCGTTCATCATCATGTACCTTCGATTCTCTTGGTAGTCTCCTTTTGTCGTACCTACTTGTCAAATCCTGAGCCCTGGATAATCCCAATTTTGTGCCTCTGTACCCAAGCAGCTTAACTTGGTGAGGGAAAAAAAAAAAAAAAA